AGCTTGAAAATTTATTTGATGGAAATTGGCTACAAAACTTCGAATGCAAGAAGAAAGGGATCATTACTTTCACCCTTAAAATCATATATTTCATCATATTAAATCGGTCGGTTCCTTTGTGTAGAATAGTTATTGTGGGCATCAAAATTCGTTTTTGTAAAGTCCTCACCTTTAAAAGCTGTCTTCCACGTCCCGTCGTTCTTACAAGTTAATCTTAAAAGACAGACATATAATGTCGCGGAACTTCTTTTTTTGTCATTTACAGAGGAATACATACTTTTATACATTTTGTGGATATCTGAACCGTTTTCACAGAGTACCCAACGGCAAGCCTTAAAGATGAATTTTTCCCGTTTCCTACTGTTTCTACGCTCCTATTGGTCTTCGATGCGATCGTGTAGCCGAAACCGAAGGTGTCTGTCAAGCCGAAGCTTCAGTATTCTACTTATCTGTGACACAATGAATAACCGTGAGCATTCGCTTGACATAGTTTTAAATTTCGAATTAGGACGTTATCACCGCACCGTCAGCGTCCCTGTTTCCACACATTGGCAGATTGCCAACGCCCGCTGATCACCCTCGGCTGCAACTCCCGTTTTAGAACTAAAGTTGCGTTCCATGTTTTCCTTTGGCATCTGTTAATGTATCTGTTTCTCTTATTCGATCTCTCAATTGCGTTTTTATCCTATTGTTCTGATGTTTGGATGAGCGATGTTTTGTTACCTTTCAAACGATGCCATTGTAATCTTTAACCCTGTTTTTGCCCCATTGGTACTATCAAATGTTGCTCTCATCGGCTTTAGTTTAACGACACTTCTTATAAATAGTGCACCGATAGAAGGCGGGATATTAGCCAACATAAACTGCTAACCATTTCGTCCATTTCCCCATTCTATCTTTGTGATTGTGTGTCTCTTACTGTGTCCCCTCAAACCTGCCTGTTCCTTTTATCTTTAGCTATTTTGTGTCCTATTCTGTTTTACTGTCATTTTATGTTAGTGTTTATATATCTCATTCTTAAATACACGGAATATTTCCCGAGTTTGTTTCATTCTTCTCATTGGACTCAGTTCTGTTTACCCCATGAGTGGTAGAAGCCTGTTTGGATGAAAATGTCCTATTATAATTCTTAGCTAATAGCCGATTATCTTAGATTTACTTTTTTCACACGTTCATATTACTATATACCTTGTTTCCTGTTTTGATTGTATTTTTTAACAAAACCTTTCTCACTAAAAGTTAGTTATACATAACAGCGTTACTCGTTATACAACTACATAGTATCAAATATCTCATTTTGCATAAACGAATTGTACAGCTTCGTTCATAATAAGATTACTTAATTCGTTGCTGTAACTCTTTAATTAGGGGCAGTTTGCTGGAATTTGCGCTCTGGAAACAACGAGTTATTTCATTGGCCCCGACTACAAGGTGTCTTTAATCAAAGTTGTCTACAATTATCACTGTTTGTAATAGACTGTTTAAAAATGGAGGGGGGGGGGGTTACTAAAGACTTCGTTAAAATAGGACCATGTTACTAAGATTTTACCTTGTGTCCTTCCGTCATTGTTGCTGTACCTCAATTCTCAATTTTATCCATATTGGTTGTAACATCAAATATTAAGACAAAATAATTATTAAAGCCTTTATTAAAACCTCCATAGAAATTAGTGTGATATAGGAAGAGACAATTGTTAAAACAGGTACATTCTTACCTACGGAAACTTTCACTAAAATTACTTTAAAATTACCATCATCATTGTTGCATTGTGAAATTTAAGATTGTCGTTCAACCACCATGCGTAACTAATGATACGAATCGTTAAATAGTGTTTACTTTTAACGGAATTAGTGACTACATTTGTCTTTTTTAAATAATTATATAACACGAAATTTTAATTCGGCCTTTAACATGAAGTACCTGTAATTATTCCATTAACATTAGTTCAAGTTTCAATACAATGCCTTAACGATGTGTACTATCTAGTTTTACGAAGAATAGAATAAACGTATTCTAATTAAATCGAATCAAAGTCAAAAATACTCTCTCGTTGGTCTTATGGTAGAAATATATGGCTAATAATTAACGGGTCGTGGATTCGATCCCATCCGCGTTAAACTTTAAATTATGATTATTCTGAATCATGTCTAGATATCGCGATATTAAATGAGTGGTGGGAATATCGAAAATTTTCTTTCTTGTCACAAACCACGACGGACAGATGAAAAGCTGTCAAGTTGAATCGCGATTCGGTTTCAGTCGTAAAGTTTCGAATATCCAAAGCCAAAATAGATCGACAGTCTTGTGTAGTTATTAAATGGCAGGGGGGCACTTCCCATTAAGCGAAACCCGTGCTTGTCCATCCTCCTCTATAATTTAAAAAATGTTTTGGTGTAGTTAGAAAACGTTCTTATCGCATGAGGCTGAAAATGCCTCCCCTAGCGAGTTATATGTGCAATGATGCAACTGTCATTGCAATATCCTTAGATATAAAGTGTCCATGACATTGACTCTCGCTACGGCTGCGGTTTATTGAAATGACCTCACAACGCGATGTCCTTTTGCGCGTCTGGTTATATCGAGTGACAGACTTAACTACATTGTGACAAAATATATATACTTTTGGGTTATTGTATAGTTCTTATTAGAACCCATGAGAAATTAAGCATATCAATATTTTATTTGATACAATGATTAATATTTATTTCTTTATTTTATACTTTTAAATAAAACCTTATAATATTTGACACATCAACCCTTATTTTTTACTTTATATACTATAGAGCATACTATTAATATAGACTATACTATAGTTACTTAGTTATATAGGGTAGGTTGTCTATAGAACCGCGTGGAGACGAATGACGTAAGTGATGAAAATCAAAATGCAAATTAAAAAGCCCAAAATTTCAGCTTTTAAATTACATATTCGTGAGTTTTGACGTTAAAAAATGAACGTAACATTTAAAATGGTAATCACGACCCGGAATACTTGTTAAATACGAAACAAAACCAGTGCAACACGACCTCTCGTATTAGTTTACACTCTCACTAAATATATGTTAAAAGTGCAATAGTTTTAAACGAATGTAGCCTTTATTTCAACGAAGTAAAGGTGAAAGTCTTACGATAAAACGCGAGCAGTATTTATGGCTGTTGCCTAGTGTAATTGGTAAATGCATGAGTTGCACGCGGAAGGCCACGAGAAATGGAAAACGAACGATACTGTTCTATTTGGCTTTTTTATTATTTCATTTACATATATTTTAATATATTTAATCAACTAAAATTGTAGAATGTTAGAATCAACTTTTATCTGACAAATATCAATTTTTGAGTAATATGCAAAAGAATGCGTTACGATTATTACTTAGTTATTGCTATAACAACAAAATATGTTATGTTATATTATATGCCTAGGTCTTACACAATAATTTTGTATTGCTTTATAATTTTCATCCACTTCGTCTATTCCCGTCAGTCGATAAATTAAACAATAATTATTGTCGTTCACTTTTCTCAAGTCACTTTCCCGCTACATTATGGATTGAGATGACATAACAGACATTCTAAACAATTTCCGTTATCCATTACAAGAATGGCGTTACCGGAAGTAACTATAATAATGATACTTGGTAGTATGAAAACACCAATCAGGTATGTCTAATTGTAAAGATAAATTAAGTAATTAGTGCCATAAGTACTTATATACAACCTGTATACGAGTATCTATGGTAGTTTGTAATTTTATGATATCTGTGGTAGAGCTCAGTCTAGCGCATGCGCGGGAAATGAGCTTGGCTTTGTTTACACTTTACTTACATAGTTTTGTTCGTTCATATTCGTTTTATACTTTTTATTTTGGGAAACAAACTGTCAATCAAAGTATAATACTATTTTTTATCTATCTATTCCACTAACCTAGTTATTAATAACGCTGATTAGTCTCTAAAGTTATGTAAGGTATTATAAATGCTTGCATGTTTTTAATTTGTATAAAATTTACATTTAATATGAATAACTAATAAGATCTGCGTGTTACTTTGAAATAAATAGCTTATCGGAAAATGTTGAGTACTTATTGTTATCAAAAGTTTAAGTAATATTTTTGATACAAAAAGAAAACATTCTAATAAAACTGTTTATACATAACATTTTTGTACCAGCTATAAAAAAACCAACGAGGTTCCTCGTTGTTTTCAACTATGCGCAGAAAAATCTGTTGGAAATTATCCATCCTTAAGAGATTTCCATTTGGTCGTAAAGCGTAGAATGAGTCAGATGCCAACGACCTGTACTTATAGCCAAACTTAGCCATTTTTAGGTGACCCACTTCATGCATCATATTACTCTTGTAATTCGTAAAGCAAATAATAACTAATTATTACCACGAAAGAAAGTACTCATGCACACCGATACTACTGAACTATTGGAACTCTGTAGTAAAAACAGCGATGTTTCTACTTTTTTAAATGAGTAAATTTCTTTATAAAACCTTTTGGTAGAAGGTAATAAAAATGAGAAACCAAAATGGAAATTAAGTCCTCAGACGGTAAGCAAATGTTAACTCAAGGGGTGGAAGGTAGGTCAGTGCTCATGGGGGAATGAATTAAATATGAGCCCTACTTGACACACTGGACCCGTTATCCCTTTACAATGAAGCGCGGTAGAACGAAATGTAAAATTCTCCCTTAAATAATGGAGACTGTAGTATGAAACAAACTATTGTTTACATATTTAATATTTATTCATCGATTAAAAACGTTTCGATCGTAATCGATCGATATGCCTTTTTGATCGAATGATTGGATTTTTAAAATAATATTTTTCAACACACTGGCCACCAATAAATTTATATAGAGTATATTAAATTTTTAGCACATGGTTCCATAGTACCTACATGCAACAACAGATCTGAAACATTTATTAAGCTTACTCAATTAATATGGTATCTTTCACTCTGATATGAGATAAAAAATGGTGTAATATTTTATTCCAGGAACGAAGAAGGAGACAAAAGTTCAGATGACGTCGCCGCGAGAGTTCCACCACATTGTCACATCACAATCAAATGCACAAGAGAGGTAGGGATAAGTTTACTACGGCTTTTATTTGGCTCTCAATTTTAAACCATATATGTCATTAACAAAAAGTTAGAAATCGATTTAAATTATTTTACAATTAATTATAAATTTTAATTTTCAAAAAATGTGATTACCAGTAATCAGATTTTTTGCTTTATTTTGTTTTTAGTGGTTTTGTGATATTTTTTAATAATTTAGTCTTTATCGTAGTAATAAATAATAAGCTTATCAACCTGTGAAAAAGCTGTCTAGTTTAATCGTGTTTCGGTTTCATTCTGTGGATTTCCGAAGTTCCGAAGTCAAAATAGATTGAAAGCACATCTTGTTTAGTTTTCATATGGCTAGGGTATTTCAACAGACAAACATAAAGAAATCATCTTCGAGTCGAGAAGCGCTCAACATCTGTTGTATCCATCCACTCGTGATAATAAAACGTCTAAAATCTGTTTATTTTAAAACCCTAGTAGCTTAGCAAAATGGACGCAAAAGCGTTTTAGAATTTCTAATTTATTTCTTTAATTTTTCAGATAGCAGGTTTTAATGGCTTATCAGAGGCAGTACGCCGTCTGGACTTTTCCTCTGCCGTCCGGGATGTTCGAAGGTTCAACTACATCTGCGCACTTCTAGAACTGCTGCTCTGCGGCGAGAGACTAACACATCTGCCCGGAGCGGCGCAGAAACTTCTGTTGTCTATGCTCGAACAACTTGCAGACCAAGGTAAATGGATAATCGACATTATTTTAATATTTATAGAAAACGCAGTATTGAAGTTGTTTTACCCTGTGGGACTTCTACCTTCTATTGTTGTTGGATTTGTTTATATACCATACTTATGTAAACGCCAAACGAAAGAAATTTTAATCTGTTCATTTTTATTTATTTTAGCATGAAATTGTTATTTTTACTAAGTGAATTTGGTAGTTCTTTAGTTTAATATATACTCCAATGTCTCAAAGTGTTTTTAATGTAAGCCTTGTGAGAAAACCACGGTTTCATGTAAATTGTGTGATTGTTTTCCAAAAATGCAAAGTTACAAGAAGTACACTACGTATAGCTAAATATCGTCGTTTAAGGTAATTTTATATTAAATGTCCATGCAATTAAAGATTCAATATACCTTTGTAACCAAATTTTTATTATAGTTGCTACATCGAAGCAGAATTTGAACGCACTTAGAGCGTTAATAGTTGGTCTGAGTGCGTTGCGTGAAGCAGAGCGACGAGCGTGTTGGGGCCGACCCCTCGGGTCCCGCGCCCTGTGGGGACACCATGACCACGCCATCGCCAGGATCAACCGCATCGCGAACAGCATTAGAATACAGGAGGTAAGAAGCTTATCATCTACTCATTTAAAGAAGTGACCAGATAAAGAAGGCTGGCTAAAGCATATAAGGAGAAGCAAACTCTCCACGGGATAAATCAGAACAGGATGTTCTATTTGATTATTTTTAAATGTTACGAATTCGAAGCGAGATATTTAGTTACAATAAGAAATATTAATTTACCAATTATTCAAATTGTATTATGTTATTTTTAGCCCGGTCCAGAAGTTGTGCCCAAACTACACGATCTCCCTGAAGAATGCATCAGAGAAATATTGCTGAGGATAGCTGACCACCGGGACTTAGATGTAAGTACGCAAGGTGTACATAAAGTATGAAGGGCACTTACCAAATCTTATATAAAATTCTTGTGTCACAGTCATTCTTTAAAAGAAGTTTTTAGTACTTCAATATTTTTTTTCATCCTGCTCAATAACCTATCAATTGTCACTTGGTAACCCCCCGACGTCTACCGGTGTCACTACCCGCGTAGTAAACAGCAAAGAGAACGAATGAGATCCACAGGTGGTCGTCGAAATTCCCTAGAATTAATTTCACGACATTTATGATCTTACGTACCAAGAACCCCCTAAAATCGTCTTTTATAATTAATGAATGACCCAAAACCAATAACCATAGACTATTATTTCATTTTTCAATCTATTTATAGTCTGCGTCATCGGCTTGGTCGGTAATGGCGTCACTGTGCTCGGAACAGCGCGTTTGGAGGGAACTGGTCAGTTTCCATTTCACGACTCAACAAATTGACTCCGTTCCAAAGACTGACAGCGAGACTGATTGGAAGAAGCTATTCCACCAGCTTAGGAAGTATGTTATAGTATTTTATCGTTATTCTATGCTTACAGTTGTTACATGATCATTTTCAAATTCAAATAACACTGCCATATAAGAAAGGGGAATCCCCACTTTTGAGTATCAGGCCAAAAAACTACACTTAAAAATCACACTCACTCTAATTAATAACTTTGTTTAATTTTGTATATCGATGGGGCTTTATTGTATGCTTATAAGTACCCACATATATATTTCCAAAAAAACTGGATATAAATCCATTGTCCACTTGTTGCCTGAAATAGATCGTAACGTTTTCTGTTCATAGTATTCTAGTCAATATGTGAAAGGCTTTTTGGGGGTGTATTCACAAATTACAACAAAAAATTTATAATTTAGTTGTGATAAGTAATGAATGTTTTTGTGTGTTGTTAGGTTGTATGGTTTACGCGAAGACGCGCAATATGCCGAGACGCTCTCCCTTTGTCGTCACTGCAAATGCCTGTTTTGGCGATCACTGGGACACCCCTGCATAGCTGATCAGGTCAGTATACTACTTGTCTAAAACATTTTAAAGCTATTTACATGTTTCCTTTAGAGAATCACAAAAATACAGTTATGCGGGACATAATTGATACCTAACAATGTCGTGAGTGCAAGGGATCCTGTCGAATACGAGATTTTTTTTAACTATTCTATGTAGTCATAGAATAGTTGGAAATTAAATAGACCGAGTTTGTAGTGTAAATAAAGCACGATTAACGGTTACAAACGCGAAATATTTTAGTTAACCGCGATTCCCGTGACCACTGCTGCAAAGCATCCAAAACGTCGGGTCGTAAACAAAATATGTGAAAAAAGTATTTTAACTAATATGTTTCACGTTTGAAACCAAGTGATTTAATAGAGTAATGACACGATAACAAGAATACTTTTGCAAATCGGCGGTCTGGATAACCGGTTGGATTAAATAAGAATCTATATTCGTACCAAACAAGAATAGAAGAATTACTTTTGAGAGAATAATTACAACTTTTATTGACACTAGTAACACTGTTTCTAGTGGACAGACAAGCATTAGGAAACACCACAGCCTATAGCGTCTTAACAAAATGCGACGTCGACCTTTATTCTTAATTATTAATTCAATACCATATGACGTTATAAATAGTTATATAATATATTTTCTATAGTGTCCAGAATACAGAGAACGTTTGAAGGAAGCGGGCGGCCCCCTGCCTCCCCACCCCGTACCCCCGGCGGCATTCCTTAAGTTCTTTTCATTGTAAAGTGTTGCGTCAAAGTTGACGACAGCTTTGAATATAGCAGATGTTTAGAGTTTCTTCTGCAAATTTAAATTCTACAGGACTTGTCTCAAGACTCAAACATAATTTTATATTATCAATAATATCATTTACCAGTTATATGTTGAATTAATACTAAATGCTTTATTCAAAGCCATCATTTCGATCCTGTTTGACTGAAACTAAAAGTGCAAATGAACAAAATAATACTTACTGAACAACTAAATGTTTATGTTTACAGAGCTTAACTTCTATTCTGTCTGTTGATGATCTGTGAAATAGGTATTTTACCTAGATATTATATGACAATTTGCAAAGCTTTTTTTTAATATGCCTCCTAAAATAATGAATGATAGAGAGTAATCATCGGATTACTTAACATTTTAGTTGCAAATTTTAATGACTGTGATACACAGAATTAAGACTATTTGGTGTTGAAGACTATTTTAACTTTGTTAAAATTAGCGCCCTATAAAATTGTTTTTGATATTTAAAAGTTATATCGCTTGTTCTAGCTTTTAATGTGGTAGCTATCAATTGACATTTCTAATAAACATGTGTTCATTTTGTATGCATAATTTGATACGCGTATTATCTGTATTACATTTAAATAAAACATTTTTAACGCTTTAAAACGCCAAATATATGTCTACTATCCGTCAAGCAAGCGGCAACTACAATTAGTGGGCGTCCCTACTGCAAATCTGTTGCGCTAGCGCCATCAGTTTTTTGTAATTTATATTTACAGACTAGCTGGGCCCCTAAAAACAAAGTAGTCCTTATCCACTAACTGTTCTGTACCTGTGCGTATCTCATTTTAACTCGTTAAAAATGTTATGTAAAAAATTGATATAAGCTATATTTATAAGCCTTGAGTCTAACAATTAGCGCTTAATGTTAAAAATGTATTAAATTCGATTAAACCGCGCCAGTATTCTTAATTTATCGAAAACATAATAACACTTGTTGAAAATGGTCACTTTTACATTTGACATCCAACACACTATTCTACTCGCTAGTATATACCTAAATGACAGCTAAAGTGTTATCGGAGCCATTTTATTTTATGCAATATTATTATTTGTTACAAGTTTTTTGTTTAGGTTTCCAGTTGTAGCTGGCTCATAGAAGCCAACAGAAGCAATTCCAGTCTTAGAATCAACATTATTTCTTGTATTTGCATTTAATTGTAATGATTTAAGAAAAGAATTGTCTCTTCTTCATAGTTTGAATTTTGAATCCAGTAGAAATGTCACCAGTGCATAATAGCTTTCACCACATTGTAGTTTTAGTATCTTAAATGCGCACTAATTGTATGCCTAACACAATAGTTTACCCCCATAAGTCACTAACTAGCAGAAATAGTAAATATAAATAAGGATATAAAACAAAATACTAGATGAAAATGATCTCTTTCGACTGTTCAATGCAATATAGAAAATATTGATTAAGTATTTTAACTCATTAAAAATTAATGTAAGACTATTTTTCTAATATATTGAAATAAAACTTCCTAACATTTTTCTGGTTGGTTTTGAGTTTTGCGTGGAATGACAGCTGGTAACTTGTAATTTTCTTATAACTGGTTAATACCAGGCCTAAAGCTTAAACTGTCCATTCTACTCTATGCCACAATGTTTTGTAAGTTCATGGGTTTGACTAACTATACTTTGTAATATAAAATCGTATATAAAAACTACTTTGTGCTCATTATTTTGTATTAGTTTATCCCTGCTGTTACATAACTTCTGTTATTCCCGAACTCTTGCTTATTACATGGTATAGTAATCAGACCCCATTTTATTAAAATAAGTCTGATAATAATATTGTTCATTGTAGTTGCATAGATTAGTTATTAATATTGTGATATTTTAAGATAAACTTATAAGAAATGTAGTTGATTTCATATTTTATTTAAATGTGTATAAATTAGTTTTGTTTGTCACTTTAGTTTGTGTTTGATCTGTGATTGTGATTTTATTAGATTTTTTCAATGTCTTACTATTAAAAATAAAGTTATTTTTAAAATCGGATTGTTATTTACATATACTCCCAGAAATGTTTTAACTTTATGTGTGTATGTAACGGTATGTCCTATGTGAAAAATATTAGAAAGAATCAAGGGAGAATGTTTTGTTACATGACTATTTTATTAAAGCCTTAATTGTGTTTATAAAAATACAACAGTACAATATTCAAAATATACAAAACGTACAAGGAACTGCCATTGGAATGATTTTAAAATTTCAAGACAACTCAGATTTCACTTTTTCACAATGTCTCACAAGGTCCTTTAATTTATAAACTAAATCTTGGAGCTGTTGAGTACCACACGTAAAGCGGATATCATCACCGTCAGTTTTTAACACAATTGTATATAATAAATTGTCTGATCCGATGCCGGGCGTATTTGTCAACACTTCCAGCTTCCATTCAACGTCTATTATCTTCGGTAACGAGCTCAAATCGGGTATATTCGAGTCCATGGTTCTAACAGGAATATAACAGTTTCCATACAGTTATTGTTGAAACAAGTTTTAATTAATATAATCCGCAATCCAATTAACTCGCGGATTACATTATTCCAATTCAGCAAATTATCACGTAAGAATATTACAACTTACAAGATTCATGTTTATTGTTATTTTAATTTGGTTGGCACTGACAGTCGTTTTGCTGACATCTGTCAACTTAAATAATTTGACAATTAACTGCGATATCGTTCTATGTCAGTTGTCAATAGTTGCTAGATAAAACTCACAGAGAATGAAATGAAATCTTATTAGACAATGTTTAGTTGGTTTTGATAAAATTTAAGTTTCTTACTTTAACATTTTTTCACAAATTACTACTCAAAATGGTATAATATAAATTAACAATCTACTGAGGTTGAAATAATTTTTCAACACGTGTGGGACTTGAACTGGCACCCTAGGCTATCCGTGCTGCTGCTTTAACCAATAGAGCGTGTCCTACATCATTGAATTTTTCAAATCAGTGTTGTTGAATTTTTTCAACTTTTGATACAGTAGTTATCCATTCCATAGTTAGCATACCTGTTCATTCATCGAAGAAACACTGATCTTATTTGGCTGTATCTGGCATAAAATACTTAAATAAAATTTATTTTAATAAAGTTAGTTTATTTAAAAATATTTATATTACATTATTTATGTTACAGTGCTAAAAATATATTTGTAGCATTTATATAATATATCTTAAATATTAATTCTTCAGTAAAGCATCTATATGAAAAGCATTTTCAGACAGACTATCATAAGGCACTTAATATTGGCATAAAATTTATCATATGAATCCGTAGTTGTTGCTTGAGTTAAATATACAAACGCCCAAGTGATAGCACATAAGCATTTATAAAAATAATGATTATCCTACATGTTGTTGAGGTTCAAAAGTTTTCAATTGCACTTAATTCCTCGCTCTATCTTTAGAATAAATAAAAGGACATTGTATGCACAATAGAAAGAAACTAATAAAATCATAAAAATGATTAGCACCATTTTTAAATACAAGAATGAGAACATATAGAATTCATGTACGTCACAAAATATAGAAGATTAAAAAACACAACCTTAAACTAACAACATTACAAATACTGGCAATTGCATTCAATAAAAATTCACAAAACCTTGTCTACAAAATCAAAACCGAAGTTAAAGCTTGGCATCGCTATACGAAGCTTCTCGCATAGCGATTTTACAAATAAAATATTCTGCACTTTTACAAATAAGCCTACATGTATTTAGCATATTCTGACTCAAAAAGAGTTTTTTTTACAGATGGCACATGTGTATGTGGATTATATAAAATGGCGCATATAGGTAGGAAAAACTTTTTTTACCAATAATCAAATTACTATTTTTATCAGATTGTACTTTGTTGTGGGGCAAAAATGCATATATACTTAATAGTTATTATTACAATATACATTACTTTTTAATATAAAAGTATCAGTTATTTCATTTCCCAAAATTAATATGTAAAATTAGTTAGTCACAACATATAAATTAATATTTTATAACTATGTAATATAATTTGTAACATTCATGAGTTTTTTATTAAGACACTATACCTAACGTTGTAAGAGCAATATATAATGTTGTACATAGTAACCCAAACAGTTAATTAGTTTTAAAGTCGCCTTTTTTAATATGTTTATAAAATCATTAATATATATAATATGTTTGTACCACTATTTTGTAAATATTAAAAACAAAACAGGATTTCATTCGGGGATTTCGCCAAGTTCTGTTTACCGCGGATTCGAGTCCCGTTTATGTCAAAAAAGATACATGTATATATATTTTTGCTTGCTCTCACGTCGCTATTTATACATCGGTGGAAATATCCATAAACGTCTTTGTACTCAGCGTTTCATCTTCTCGAGTATGGGTAAAATCATCTCGAACGAAGGTCGCTTCCCCGGGTCTTCGTTCATGCAGATCTTGATCAGTTTGGAGATGTGAGGCGAAATGCCAGGCGGTATGCTCACACGCAGACCCTCCAGGGCGACTTTCATCCCGCATTCCATTGGAGACAGATCGGCAAATGGAACCTTTAATTGTCATGATATCCAATTTGAAGCAAAAAAAAAGATAAAAGGAACAATATCGAAGATTTGGTTGCTGAATCAATTTATTGTGTAAAATATAATACTACTTTTATGGCAAATATGGTATTGTAACTTTTTTATGGCAAAGATCAGCATTGGCCGGTTAAGTGAAACCATGGAAGTTGACATACTTCTGTCATATAAAAGCTACAGTGTGAATCTGTGACTTTAAGGTTTGTTATTTTAAGTTTATATTAAAGGCCAAACCAAATTCTACTTGATAACCTTAAACCCTATTAAGGAGTAGTTATAAGATTATTTGGACCTCTCTAGTGGCCAGTTCCCAGAGGAGCACCGCGAAGCTCCACATGTCGGCGGCCTCCCAGTTGCGCTTGGCGCTCGGCTTCTGCAGGGCTTCGGGCGCCATCCACGCGGGGGCGTACACGCGCGCGCGCTCCTGGAACGAGAACTTCGAGTCCGCCATGTTGATGCGCGCCGTTAGGTCTTCGTCGATCTAGAAATTATAAGGCACATACATTGCATGCAGTAAATCTTGATTTGATTGATTTTTATTTATTTATTTAATATTTACATATATTTTACTTTACAATATTAAATACCAAGTATTACACTCGTATTTGTGCATAAAGGAGCAAATTAATTTATTATTATATTATTTGAGCGAGTTGAAATGTAATTTAGTCTTAAATAAAAATTTGAAAAACGGTTTCCACTGCAACTTCTAAAAGGCTTCTTCTAACTTCTAAAAGTAAGGTCTTAGTTTATTAACCTATTTGTGAACGAGTTTCAACTAGTTAAAAATTGTATTCATAATATTTAATTTTGTATCTACATAACCACGTATAATTAGGTATTTACCATGACGTGCTTGCTATTAAGATGGTAAGTGGGTAGAATACGATCCCTTTGCAGCGAGTGAAGGTAGGCCATCCCGGCCGCTACGTCGCGTGCCAGCCGCAGCGCTGCTGCTGCATCCACTACCACGCGACCACCAGCACCGCCGTGCAACAACGCGTAGAGCGAACCCCATGACATGTATTGTGATATCACCACGAGTGATGGTGGGGACACACAACAACCCACCTGGGAAATGCATTAATAGGTTAAATAGACCCCTATTACGTATAAGTTATGGTCGACATTTAAAGAAACACAAAGATATAGATATTGTTAGTTGAGGGAAATGCTCATTTCTGGCCACTACCTGGTTTTTCTCTGTAACATACCACAGGCAAAATATTTGGGTGCGAGAATATCCTTAGCTTAGGAAACTCCTCATTGAAATCCCGTTGCACTCGTGGTGTACACTCGCGGACAGCTATTATTTTTGCCACAATATCGTTCTTCTGCCAACGGCCGCGCCATGTCTCACCTTAAATGGTTAAAATCATTTATTACAAATCAAATAACATGTTATATATAAATGTTTTCTATTTTTATTAAACTGTGAAACTAGGAGCATTTGTATATAACTAATGCAATTCATTTATTGAAACACATAATATGCAAAAATAAAACAGGTAATTGTGCAGTTGTGTGAATATGCATCATTATACATATTTACATGTGGATCACCTGACCTTCTATGGTTGTTCCCAAAGAAAAAATAAAAAAGAAAATATTATTGATCATATTTGCTTACCAGAAGGAGTAACAGCAATGCGAGTATGCAAAGCTAGCTCATTAATATTGATGCCCTTATGCCTCGAAAGAGTTGCATCCCGACTTCTTGTCTTCAATCCCAACCATGACTGATCCTTGAACTGAATCTTTTTCAGGTCTTGGCCTTGGTTTACAGCCAGTTCGTGAAGTCTGAAAGTGTTTAGGAATCATATATATTATAATTTTCTAACTAATACCCATATTATATGTTCCAGAAAGATTCACTTCATGGTTCACTAGATTATATACTAAATAATCAAAATAGTAAAGTGGGAACTCTAAGGAAAGGTAGTAAGTAATAATTGATCATACACATAATTGTTTTACAAATAAATAATTGAGGAGTACATTTTCATTTTCAAACATCTCAAGTAAGTAGCTTTCCAATAACCTCAAGTCTTATAGAATTTACAGCTAATCCTTACCTTTGAACAAGCTGACCCTTAGTCTTATCGAGCGGAGTATCCCCATCCTTATTAGCCAATGACACCAAAGCACCAGCTATAACCAAGTCTTCAGCTATCGCACTGTAACCCCAGAAACAGGCATAGTGTAGTGGTGAATTACCATGTTCATTGGTAAAGTTGACATCCACCCGGTTTTGTAATAGCTAGAATTTTAATAAAATATCTGAGACTTACAGCTAAAGTATTAATGAGTATGTCTTGTGGAAATAAAGATGGTCATCACTGCCTTTATGGCTTGGTGGTTACATAGGTATATTATCTTGCATTACATTAAGCTCAAAAGGTACTGTGTTCCAATTCTGTGGAAATATGATTTTATAAATAAATGATTGAAACAAATACAAAAATGAGAAATTCCCAAGCAGAACTGTATTTGCACTTGTGCATGTAAAATTAATTAGTCATGTCACAGTAGAAAGAAATATTACCAAATTAATTAGAATAGTATTCTAGTTGTTAAAAAATATTTACTTTTACAATATTAACAAAAACTGCCTTGTGCACTACAATAAAGTATTACATTTTGATGTTAAAACTTATTCAAAAATAATATGGATTATTGTATAGACAAAGTATTACCAGTTGCACAATGGGCCTATGCCCATGGGCAGCAGCTAGATGCAAAGGTGTGTCATCACCCATGTTTGTGACATTAATTCTAGCTCCCCGTCTGATAAGCATTTCAACAATTTTAATGTGACCTTCCTTGCAGGCCCAGTGTAAAGGGCTGAACCCATGGTCATCACTGTAAGTAATATTTATATTAATAATTAGGATTTTATTACCAAATTTACTAAAAAAGATTTTTTGATAAATAACTTGTGATCTTTTTCCCCCAAATAGGAGGAAAATTGTAAGTATATATGACTGAGACTGGTGACTCACGCTCAAAGTGAGTAGGGAGTATGCTTTATTCTGGGGTTTTTTATTAATTGTTATCAAGTTCTAGCAATTAAAATAATTCTAAGTACTTTCAGAAACGTAGATAAGTAGTACATTCGAGGCGTATGGTGGGCGACCAAGGCGTAAACTACTTGCCTTTTAAGGAGCCCTAGGACATTCCAATCGTTGTTTATAAGTAGGAAAAGGTTACGGGATTATAAAACTCACCCCTGATTCATGTCATGTTCAGTATCATCCAGCCAAACACGAACTTGCAAGGCATTTCCCTCTCTGCACCACTGAAATATATCTTCCATTTTTTTCACACACAAATACTAGTTAAACCCAAACAACACCACTGAACTATGAATTTTTAAGGATTCTACCACTGTTAAAGCAAACAAATAATCTGTTCTAGCTTAATTTTAAGTTAAATTTACATAGAAAAATACGGATGGAGTCATTCATTAGATTTGACTTTGACAGTTTCGCAATCTCCCAAAATAACAGTAAGGCGACGAATTGTAGATGCTACTTGAACAAATATTACTGTCTTATTCTTTCACATAGCAACTCCTATTTCTGTCCTTACTTAGTTCTTAGTCGAATATAAAGAGAACACGTTAAAAAGTTTGGATAAAATTAAAGCGACCTAGTTTTCTTTTTTTTTAAACCTAATTTGTTTTGTAGACGCGAGCGTATTAGTCTGGTCTGGATTTGCTTTTTTTGAAATTCTTAGGTTAAAATCGAGGTAGGAAGTAATATTTTTATGATTCCTAATAAACCATAAGATTTTCAAGGTCGATAATGACCAAACTAAGAGCAACCCGTATTGTTTGAAGTGATGAAAGAATTAAAAATGTTTTGAATACACAACATAGTTGACACAATAAGCTCATCCATAATACTATCAACTAATAAAAATCTTCCTTCTAGTGATTATTTTCATTACACATCAGTCTTGTTTTATAGGTTTTTAGTGTAGTTAATATAAAAACAGTATTTAGGAACTTAAATGACTAGTCACAGCCTGAGAGCTGTTCCGCCGAAGTGCAATGGTAGAAACAGTTCTCTTTATATTTACACTTTATTTCAAATAATAACAGACACACTATTTCTTAGCAAAAGTAATCTTCATAGCATGTGTTGGTGTAATCTTGAAACCTTGTAGGGCTTCTTTAGCTGCAGCCGACTGCATTTCATTTGCAAACTCCACAAAAGCAATATCATGTCTATTTGGAACCAATCTGACTTCTTTGAAACCTGGGAATCTGTAATAAAGCAAATGTAATTTGTAGCACACAATGTAAAAAGGGTTGTATATTTTTAAGTTGACTATCTGTTATTTGAAACATCTTATTAATCAAACTTCAACATCAACATATATAATACTTACTGGTTAAACAACATAGACAACATCATCTCCGATGTTTCATCGGGTAAATTGGTAAGGAAAAGAATTTGATTAGGAGGTTGTTCCACATTGACATTGTTGACCATGCCGGGTTGTCCAAAGCCAGGTATAGCACTTCTATTGGCATCTTTCTTCTTCTTCTTACCATCGTCCATGCCTTTGGGCAATTTAGGACGTTTTGGTCTCTCTTGGAAAGTGCCTTTTATTTTAGCAATAACATCACTATCCGTTTTGCAGTATTGTATTCTCTGCGGTAAGAAAATTAAAAGGCATGTATTATATTACTTATGAGAAAACTAATTTCTATGAGTTTATTGTAAATTTGTGTTTGTTTTATAGAATGAGATTTAAAGTTTCTATAATATAGATTTTTACCATTGGTTTGTCATAGAACGGAAATCCTTGCATACTACGCAAAGCAACAGTTGCACTGGAGATTTCTTTGAATATAACGAAGGCCTGTCCTCGCATTTTCAATGTTTTTAATGCTACAATATCTAAAATTTGTCCGAATTGTGAAAATATTGCGTAAAGAGATTTCTTAAGTTCTTCTTTTTTTATTTTCTCGTTTAAATTGTTAATATAAATCGTGTGATTTGGTCGAATATCCATCGCTGCAACAAAATAAACCAATTATAACCTCAAAAAATTATAATTTTTAACATTTAAAATTTTTTCACGTACATGAAGTTAAGAGAGGAAAAATATATGATTCTGTTAAATTATTTTATTTATGAAAATCTCAATTAAGATCACAATGTAATGAAAATACTTACTCATTTTCAGGGCCGACGTAAACAACAACTGTTATCTCAAAATATTGAATCACAGTGTACCTGGATGTAATGGTAAAGTATATCGATATACCAAAAGATTCTTTCGGTATCTTAATACTTTCTATACCCGGTTATAAGGTATTGCAAAATAAATAAAGTAATTCCCAATAACTCTTTTAGGACGCGGGACGCTTAAGCCTTAATATTAGCATAGACTGCGCAAAGCACAGTTAACACAAAAATATGCTTATCGCTACAGAAAAATTACAGTCATCTGTGGTAATCCTACAATTGTATTGTTTTATCAGCCTATTCAATTGTAGACTATAGATATATAATTATCGTGTATGGTTTGCTTCGCTATATTTACGCGCGCGTTTTTTATTAGTTTTATAGATTTTGTATGTATGTAGTTTTAGGGCAAGTTATCATATTATTATACTAATACATTATTAAAATCTAATTTTTGGTATACATCAGTATCTTCGACTACTTGTATTAATAACATAAAATTTTAATGTTTCCCAACATCATGCACGACTTTGAAACAGTAACACCTGAAGTATGGAGATTAAACGAAAAATCTTGGAAAGAAAAACTTATGAAGTTACCAAATTGGCACAGGGTATGAAATATTTATTTCAAAAATCCTTTTATAGAACTCTAAACTTCTCGACCTTAGCGTCGAGACAAGGACAAAAGTATTTCTGTATTACTACTTATTAGAATGAGTACATGTCAACTTGTTTAAAAATCATTGTAAGTATAACAATTAAATTTCTTGCAAAATAAATTTCAGGTACCCTTAATTAATTGCAATGCATCACACAACTTGTCTGATGGAACACTAGCACGATTCCGCGGCATGGTTCAGGATATGCACAATCCAGAGTTTTATTTTGAAGAGTTTGAAGTATTTAATACGGCTACTAACGAAGTTAAAACCAAATCTGGCAAATATACAGATACAGCGTCTATTCTGGTACGTTTGTTTTTTAGTCCTAAATTACCTATTTATAAAATATGCATGTAATTTTCCCTGTGGTATAAACAATGTGGTAATCATTTCCTTTATTTTTTTATTTCGTTTAATACTTGCCTATAATTTTAATATTGTTTTCGGTACATCACCCTCTTATTATGTCAATAGGAAAATGAGAAGATAAATTATACAGAAAATCTAAAAAGTGCACAGAGACAAACAATGGTAGTCGTATCTTTGCCTGGCTTAAATGAATGGGCACAAAAGATGGAAGATGACAAGAACCATCTAAAACACTTAGAAGAACAGCCAAATACATCAAAACGGTTGAACACAACAAAATTAAAACGCAGCTATGACTGTGATGAGGATGTAAATGCTATGGAGGTTGAAGATGATAGTGGCAAGAAAGTCGCAAATAAGGCAGAAAATATAATAGAAAAGCCTAGTGTTGTATCTCGAGAGCATTTGTTAAATTTCCCTTTACCTGATGTAGCCAGCAAATCATGTATTATTAAGGTATTCTTGACAATTCCTGTTATTACTCCCGTTAAGTTTGACTTGCCATATACTTTTATATATATAATTTTATAGTTTTATGTAGAAAGAGAGTACAAAGTCCATTGAACTTGTCTTTACTGACCTATTACTAGTAAATTTTTCAACCTCTATCAATTTTGAGGAAATATTCTCCTTGTTGAATATCCAGAGGGTAGGCAGCTGCAAAACCATCTCAGATCACGGCTTTACCACCCCCAATACTCCATTAAAATAATAACTCGCTTGTGTCTGAATAAAGACTTCTTAAAAATAAGTGAGATATATGACTAGTAATGTGAATTATTATTTCACAGATATATGATGACAGTGAGAACCTCAAAATCAATGATATGGTGGAGGTTGTAGGCTTCCTATCGGTAGATCCAGCCTTATCTGGGGAATTTCAGGGTGAAAATAATTCATTTCTTGAACCCTGTGTTGAGACAGAAGTCGAGACTATAACTCATAATCCACCACCAAGTTTGGTACCTAGACTACATGTGGTCTATGTTAAGAAATTGGAGCATTGCAATCCACTTGTTAAGGATGGAGATCAAGGTTAACTTTTTTAAAATATATCATTTGCTGTTTTGTCTCTATTTGATTGATGCCACCAAACAAATCTGAACAATGTTACTTTGTTCAATGCAATACTTTGTTCCCTTTCTATAACATACTAACTTATTACCGGAGCTAGTAGCAATATTATTCAGTGCTACTGTTTTGATTTTTAGTAATAGAATTTTTAATATTTCAGAAAATCTGTTAAAGGAGGCAAACTCAGCTCGAGATCACTTGTTGAAAGCTTTAACAGAACTGCTTTTGGGCGATAAACTTGCTGCGGAGTATTTGATTTGTCATCTTATTGCTTGTGTGTAAGTGTTTTTATTAGTAATTATTCTTACGTCTGTCTTCAAAAAAGTAAAGTCATTTAAAAACCAAGACATTGGGTAAACTAAAAAGAATGATTATGTTATAGATACATCCTCATTTAAAAATAGCTTTATTATGATAAAGGTTTTAAAAAATGATCTTCTTCACTAAAATTGTTCTCTGTGATCTGCGATTACCCTTTCATAGTATTTTGTATATTGCAGATACCTCCGTCAAGATACAATTACTCTCGGACAATTCTGCCTCAACATTTCCAATCTACCCACAAAGCGATACCCAAACTATGCAAAGCAGCTGTATGATGTCATAAAGCAATTTGTTACTAAGAGCTACTATCTACCGTTGACTATTGAGAATATGAATACAATGGCCTTGCTACCAAAGTATGTGAAATGTATTATATTACAAGCTTGAACAATAGAATATAGCTTATTCCCTGATAATATAAACATATTAATATTAGCTGTACCCGCGACTTCGCGTGGAATAGTGCCTTGGGGTAGAATTTTTAGTTATAAACAATCTATGTTGTAAGTGCTACTTTGACGCAACACTCACCTCACGCCCACGCCCACTCCTATTCCCAAAAAGCCAAAGAAGAAAGTTTCATTGTTCTAGCTTCAAATACCACTAATTACCATACCAACTTTCACCCCTCCCTTTTAACCCCTTACAACCCCCTTTTCGCAATAAAAAGTCTATGTTCTTTCTCAGGGTCTAGACCATCTGTGTACTAAATTTCATTCAAATCCGTTCAGTAGTTTTGGCGTGAAAGAGTAACAGACAGACAGACAGAGTTACTTTCGCATTTATAATATTAGTAAGAATTAATTAAAAAATAAACATATTTTTTAACATTTCCTTAAATATATTATATTACTGTCTTGAAATTACATCTACAGTTAGAGAAGTCTTGGCATGTACATCTAGCAGTAGTAGTACTAGTAGTTAGTAGCCAAATAGATACAGGGTATATAATCTCCCACGTGAATACCATGTATATCGGACCTCTGAAAAAAAACAATAATTTTTAGTGTGGCTTTCAATGTGTTGATTATAAATATTTTGTTTTTATGATAGACGAGGAAAGACAAAATTGAGGATCACTTAATGAAAGGTGGAATACCCCAGCCATCTTGTCGAGATTTTATAACCTCGGTAAGATGTGCTGTCGGCCTATCTGGGCTCCCGTCATTGGGACCAAAACGCGATCAAACTTCAACAGTGGACAGTGGTCGTAACTTTTATACTCCCCGACAAACGCCAATAAATCTCTAATATATAATAAGGTATAATAGATAAATAAATTATTATATGGTTTTTCAGAAAAGACTATGACTGTAACCGTTTAACGAGTGGCATTCTTCAGCTAAGCAAGCACACACATTTGGTGCTGGATGAAACACAAATGGAACAAGGTCAACTGGATTCCTCAGGAGTGAACAACATAACTGCCCTGGGTAATCTCATAAAACAACAGAAGGTCGAATATGACTTCAAATACTACAAGATGGAGTATGACTCGGATATATCTGTATTGATATTGTCGGAGGGAAAGAGTTTGTTGCCTGTGAGTTAATATTTATTCTTAATTAAACGGTATATACAGAGTGTAAATGGAACAGTTTTGAAAACATATAAGGGCATATATTAGGGGCTAAAAGGTGTTAAATGGTGCTATTTATTTTAAGATTTTTTCAAAGTTTTAAATACGAGTATGAAATGTATAGCGCACAGCCGAGAAGCATTATAACCTACGCGCCCGCAATACGTTTTGTGGACAGCTGATCATGTTAAGTAGGTTAGGTATTATTTATTTCATCTTTGCGTATAGGTGCAATATTCGAAAAAAGTATTTAGTATACATTAAATACAACTTAAAATAAATAAAAAAAGACAAAACCACCATAGCACAACCAAAATTAAAACTACATAATTGCGAAGGCCGGCAGACGAGAGGACCCTACCTTCTCCGGTAAATTCTCAACACCTCTTTCGCATAACCAAAGTGTTCCTAAGTATATTAACATAATGAGATACTCACGTGCTGGTTACAAATTCGGCGCAAGCATTTTAAATAAAATTAACACACCACGAAATATCACAAAAAAGAAACCAACTAAGAAGTAAATAAAAACAATTTATAGAAATGAAAGAACAAAACTAACTCAAACTCAACTTTGAAAAAAATCTTGAAATAAATGAAAATAAATAGCACCATATATCACCTTTTAGCACCTAATATATGCCCTTATATGTTTTCAAAACTGTTCCATTTACACCCTGTATATGAGGAGAGCCAAATTCTTTTCTTGACGGGCTGATTGGGCTGCTAACAAAGTATGTATGTTTTCTTACCTGTTGAAAGTCATTTGGAATCTGGATAATAAATGGGTGATAGGAATATCAACATTTTTGTTCGTATTATAAATTGTTGAATAAGCGGTGAAGATTGATCGCGTTTCGGGATTTGTCTGACAAATATCCACAGCCAAAATAAGTCGACAGCATACTACATTTATATGTTATATGGCAGGGTATTTCACCTTCAAAAATAATGAAATGTAAAAATCTACTTTGGTTGTAAGGCATGGTAGGTCAATTGGTTAGAGCAGCAGCATGTTTTGTTATGTTTCAAGTCCCGATGTCATGGATCTAAATAAAATTTTACATATTATACTTACTTACTTACTCCGCTGACGCAGCGACCCAAAGTGTCTTGGCCTCCGAAACTAAAGAGCGTCTTCTCTTTTTCCGGTTTCATAACAATGGTTTCGTTTACGTGGGAGGGTTGTCAAACCCCCCCCACCCCGCACAACCCCCATATACTAGGGTATCACACACTACCCTTGGTCAACGAGCCCATCGGGCTATATACATATTATACTATTTATTAAAAATCGATTATAAGTTGAAATAAATTACGACTCGGGCAGGACTTGAGCTGGCATCCATAGCGATCCGTTATAATCGATTTTTAATCCATATGCCATCATGTGAAAAATATTAATATTTTCAAATATTATACTATTATTTACAGAGCGATTACCACGTTCCATTGCGGCCAGAAAGCTCCTCACTAGAAATATTCGATGCTATAGTGGAAGCGGCCACGTACTACTTGAAGGAGGAGATTATGAATACCATAAGAATGTACTTAACAAATCTAAAAATTGTTAAATACTCAATTTCTGAGAATTTACAAGTGAGTACTATACTTGTGTAAATAATATAAATTTGAATTTATCAGCCTTCTAACAGTCCACTAGGACTTATGATTAGAGGTCTTATAGACCTAGAATACAACTAGAACTAGAATTTAGTTTATCGCACTAAGTAGATGACTCAACTGCTCCGTTGAATCTTTGGTTATGGGATATTTTTTTTTGACCGTTTGCCCCACTGCTCTACAACTAAATAAATATATAAGGAAGTTTTGAGAATGAATATTATATTAAATACTGGTGGTAGTCAACGCGAGTAGTACACATTTAAATAAAGCACTTTAACGGTTTAAAACGCGATATATATTATTTATACTTATTTTTACAGCCCGACGTTTCGGATGCTTTGCAGCAGCCGTGGTCATGGCCCAAAAATATTCGCATTTTAAACCTTTAAGTTTTATTTAAAATACTAAAATTTAAATTAACACATTTTTATTCCTTTATGTGTGTTCTCCTTGTGTAATATTATTTATAATGTTAAATAATTTTTCAGTTTGTAGAAGAAGATTTTATAGAAATGCGCAGTAAGTCGGATACCGAGAACCCCGTAACAGCTGATGATCTACACAGGCTTCTAGTTCTGGCGCGATTAGTCAGCCTTTCTCGAGGTTTGGATACCCTCACCAAAGAGTGCTGGGATATTACCAAACAGATGGAGGAAGACAGAATAAACAGAGTGAAGAACAGAGTCGCTTCTACTTTGTAGTGTTTTTAGTTTTTTGCACTAACAATAGTTTTGTATTGTTTTATTTAATAAAATGATTTTTAGGCATGTTTTCGTTAATCTATGCTAAATCACACAACCTCTCGTTATATAATATTATATGCGGCTGCTAGAGACAGAGTGGCCTAATAACAAAAAACATGATTTTCAATTAGGATGAAAATAAAAATACGTCATTAATAATATTAATAAACAATTTTCGGTCACTGTGCTCTTGTAGTTTTACATTTTAGTCTTATGAAAATATAAATAACTGAAGTCACAAAATTGCAATTAGTCTACTCTGCCACTAGCGGCGTCATATATTATATTCCTAGCAAAGCGAAGTACTAACTTTAATACAATAAATTTTAATGATTTCCATTATTATAAATAATAACGCCTCAGCGTAACATTTATTGGAATGCAACAACATTTCAGTAAATATTACGCTGAGGCGTTGAATACAAACTTATTTAATCAAGGAGATTAAGGTTTTGTTAAATGTAAATATTGATTTTTTTTATAGCGAGATCGAAGAACGTAGATTTGGCCAATTGACTAGGGACTAAGCTGTGAAAATAAATTTAAAAAAAGAACATATATCAACATGACATTGACGTGTACAACTGTACAGCCACTAGCCAGTCGTGTACAATTTATTGAACGGCGAATAGAGTTGTTATTTATTGATTGGATTTATAAATTAAATCTCCGTAGGATCGTAAAATAATAACACAAAATTAAAATGTCAAACAAAAGTAAACAATTAGATAGTTCTAGTAAAATAAAAGTAAACGATTCAGTGTGGAAAAAAGCGTTTTCATCTAACGCTGAATGGCCCGACAAGGTTAGATTTGATCACGGGATTTTGCAAATAAGTGTTAAATTCTTACCTGATAAGGCATTATTCTTTTTTAGGAGGAGTTTTTAGATGTAATCTATTGGATGCGGCAGGCGATAGGCATCGTTCTGGGACTCTGTTGGGGATTGTTACCATTAAAAGGATTTGTGGGCTTATTACTGTAAGTAACTCGTAAATCTATAAAATTTGTTTAAAATTCCCATGTAAATTACTGTGGAATTTCTAACTATTCAGATATATGAGACATTTTTATAAAAAAAGAAAATAAAGTATTCTCTCTTATTCTTTACAAAAATAATCATAATTAATGATGAAAATAACTAATGTAAATTGGATCCTCCAAGCTTTGGATTTACATTAGGCATCTACTTTAAACCATGAATATTTTTATTATATATAAATTAAATAGCTATTAAGATAAAAGATTTTTTCTCAATCTAAAGAAATCTTTAATTAGGCATGTATGTCAAGGATTTCATATAATTGAGGCAATATAGTGTGTTGTATGACTTAACAGGGTTTTAAATCCATTACAGATTTGTGGTGGTGAATGCCGCAGTGATATATTTCTATGTAAGCAGTTACCAAAATGTTGATGAAGAAGAGTATGGGGGAATGTGGGAAATAACCAAAGAAGGCTTTATGACGTCTTTTGCTGGCTTCTTAGTAAGTATATTTTGATTTGTAATGGAAAATGGTTTTATCCCATTGTGCAATACAGATATTAGCATTGCATTGTATATTCTATATAACAAAAATAGTACAGCATTTTTTTTCTAATTATCTTCATTTATACTTTCCAGGTAACATGGATTATCATGTATACAGGTCTACATAGCACTAGTAATTTATGAGAAAGGTGTGATAAGCAACTGTTGGCATCGGTTTTATAAATGAACAATTAATCGCTGGAAAACAATGAATGTTTCTTTATGTCTATAAATCTACAAATTCTTGTAAAATTTTGAAAAAGGTTTTCAAAATTTTACAAGAATTTGTTAATTACAGAGATTTCATGAAGCAAATAATTATTCTGTAACAACTTCAAATAGTGTCACAGTGTTACGTAGCTACAGACTAAATCCAATAATCTTATTTATTCACATTGAAGAAGGATTCCCTACATAAAAACATTCATTGAATAATGGTAATGGCTTCGGATACTAAAAGCAGGTTGGATAAAAGACAGATGTTGTTATATTGTTAATTACCAAACATGATCTCCAAACATATAATTTTAAGGTCATAATCTAAAATATATGTCCCTGCTTGAACAAATTTGTTGAAAAAATAGAGCAAAGTGGGACAAAAATTCCTATACTTTGTGACATAATTTTTTATAGGTTGCAAGAATATTATATACCTTTTGTATGGGGACAAAATATGTTGCTTCAGATTACAGGGCAACTATTGACATATATTTTGGAAAATGCCCTTAAAACAGTATAATAGGAAAATATTAATTTGTTTTTGGTCATGTAATTTTGTAAGAGAAATAATAGTAAGTTTTATTTATATGTGTTCAATTGAATTTATTGGAAAAAGCAATATAATTATGTGTTTAAAATGATTTATTGTATGGTCATAGTTATGAGTACTGTTTTGAACAATATAGTGTTGGTTTATACATTTCTTTTTGTTTTTACTTTATTATTATTAAATCACTAATAAGGAAGACAAGTCATTTTTTACTCTAAAACTGTGATCTAATCAGAAAAACCTGCTTTTGTTTTATTGTTGTGTTTGTAGGCAAGTAGATGATTTGGCTACTGGTCCTTTTATTCAATATAATTTAGTTGCGAGTCTATTTTTCGTGCTTGTGTACACTTAAGTAGTGAACTCAAAAGTATGTTTAAAAAAAATTATCAAAATTTCTTTAATCATTTCGCCAAGTAACCAAAACGTCATCAGTTCTATATCGCTGAGTGATCGTTGCATCTTCAAACTCCATTCTAGTTCCGGATGCATATGCCAAAGCACCTGCATATGCGATCATAACACCATTGTCTATGCAAAATCGCTCATCAGTTGCAAATATTTTGGCTCCTCTCTCTTCACACATTACGCCCATCATCTCTTGTAATCTTTCATTGCAACCGACACCACCAACTATTAACACCTAAAACAGAATTAAAAAGCATTAAGAGAAATATTAAAATTTTGATAGTACAAGTCAGAGCCACAAAAGATAGTACTGTACCAGTTTAATTAGAAAAACAAATCTACCTCATCTGAAGCACAGTGCGCCATGGCTCTCTCAGTGATTTCCACTAACATAGCAAAAACTGTCTCCTGTAGCGAGTAGCACAAATCTTCAGGAGTGTAATCCTTCAGCAAGTCATCTATTTTGTCTTCCATGTATGATAGAATTCCAGAGAAACTAACATCCATTCCTATAAGGAAATTTAAAGAATATCTCACTCAATTAAGTATAGCTGCAAAAATTGGTTTTTGATTTTATTTTAGATATAGTATTTTTAAATACAGTTACCAAATTTATTATGATTATATTTTAATAAATATTACCTTTGACACAGTACGGCAAATGTAAATATTTCTTTCCACTTTTTGCCATTTGTTCTATATTGTATCCAGGGCTTGGTGCATTTGACAGTTTTAATACTCTTGCGAATCTAAAATTAAAGCTACACATTAAAAACACATTTAAAAATAATAACAGTTAAAAAGCTACTTCAAATAGAAGGATCAAATTAAATATATATTTTTAAAATGAAGTTTTAGACTGACTCCAACTGGCAAAAGATGATAGACCCTGCTATTCTGCTACTATCGTAGCTTAGTACAGTATAATCTTACATTAGTTTGATATTCTTTATCTTCTTGAACATGTAGCTTAACATGTGTTTTAGCCAAGTGTCATCCAAATATGTTTAATTTATTCTATTATTATCTCAACTGCCTCAAAGAAGATTATTCCTAAATTCGTTGCCATCTTTCCAAGTTTTGTACATCCTTACCTATCTAAGCAATTTCCTACAGCAATATCAATTGTTTCACCAAATATCCTGTATCTTCGTCTTGAGTAAGCTATTATTTGTGTGTTACCCCCACTTACATATAAAACAGTTGGATTATTGGCTTTTGTTATCAATCTTCCCATTTCAATATCTGGAAAGTGGCTAAGGCAAAGTAATGTAATATTTTTGTTGTACCTCCCTCATATTTTTATAATAATTTTGGACATATGCTATAATAAGTGGATATTACTAAGATTTTATTATGTGTGCTTATTCATAAAATTTTTATTAAATTCTCTGTTAAAGAATAATTAAACATAAATATCTTGAGATAAGGCTAAGCTATTACCATTATTTTGTATTGCTTGCTTTCAAATTACCTAATATTTTATTAAAGTACTTTATAAATGTTTATAAAGCGTCATCTGTTACATTTATCAAATTCTTATAAGAACATAAAAGGATACGTCCAATACAATGATTAACACCAAGTATAGGTTTGTTCCACAACAAGGCACAAGTTCTTGCGACTATAGCACACACACTTAATGGTGCACCCATTCCTGGTCCTTTGGTGTAACATACAACATCCAATTCTTCAGGTTTTAGTCCTGATTGATCTAAGGCCTCTTTTAAAACCTCATGGATATTCTGCCTATGATGTTCTGCTGTTTCTCGGGGCAGAAAACCTATTACAATGATATTTACAATCCATGATTATTCTGTATTCATACCTCGCAAATTAAATTATGCTCAATCTAATATTTCTGATTCTATTAAAAGTAGTCAACATTTTATTTAATTTGTTCCATATTGTTTTAAATTTGTATATCGCAGTAACAGTGCCCAAATATTACGGCATAAATATATTGGTTGTTATTATAATAATATAACCTACACCCGGAAACATAACCTAACAAATGCAATTCAAGTAAAGTCTTGTTGTGTTAGTAGTATTAAAATAATACATTACAATTGGACTCAGATTCTAAAATACCTTCCCCGGGCGGTGTTATAAACGTCCGTCGACAATTCGCAAGTATTTCTCCATCTCTAATAATTCCCACACCCAATTTATTGGCACTTCCTTCAAATCCTATAGCTACGACCATTTTTTCTCTTCATATATATTCAATAATAAATAATTAGAGTGTAATGTTGTTTTAAATAAGTGTAAAATGTGATTTTACTACGATTTGTTTATCAATAAAAGAACAACAGATTATGTCACTAAGACTAGAATTTTTTAAATATATTTTATGACCTGGTGACGGAACCTTTAAGCCAGACTAAGACATAGTTATGTACCCACAGACAACAAAAGGAGGCGAAGAAGTACCCGTTCATAATTCGATATATTTGTACAGACTGCACACATTTTTTTATATAATAAAGTACATTTTAGTCGGAATTAAATTATTATTTCGTATTAATAATTTCTTATTACAAATGCAAGATACATTTGAGTTATACTCAACCTTAGTACGTGAAAAAAAGAACAACAGGAGTTAGCTAAAAGCTTATATTTCTTATTAACTTATCCTTATAAGGGCAAAGGTATAAAAATTCAGGCGTCATCCTGAACTTCATCCACAAAATCGGCCATCATCTCTTCCACTGACAAATCTGTTTTGTGTATTTCTGTAGAGGAATCGCACTGTGATACACTGACTTCAACGTTAATATTCTGTATATTATCTTCTACTGCAATCAAACCATTGACTTTTGGAAGTTCTGTTTCACCACACTTCCTTTGAGCTTCGTCCCCAGAACTTGGTAGTACTTGCCCGCAAGTAATTTGAATATCATCTGTTTCATTGGTGCTGGGGAGATTCACATCATCTATTTTCTCCAACACTGAAATTACCATATCTCCTGATTTAGGATTATCGTAATCTATTTCGAAGGATGGACCATCTTCTCCATCTAGTGTATCATTGGACTCATTTAATGGCACTTGTGTTGACGCTTCGTGGATTTCTTTATCCGCCTTATGAATTGCTGGTACTTGTGTTATTGCACCATTAATATCATCTACTGCTTTAGTAGGTGAAGTAACTTTATCTAATTCGTCTTCAAGACTTTCTACCCCTGTCACTACACTTATTTCTTTATTGGAGTCTACATCTAGAGATTTTTTGTTTTGTGTTATCTCTTCAGTATTGTCAATAGGTTTGTTAGCGACCATTTCGGTAGATTTATTATCAACATTTATTTCTTGTACATCTTCAGAATCTGAATCATCACTTATTTCAACTGAACTCATGTTTTCACTGCTTAGACTAATTTTATCTGCGTCTTCACTCAATCTAGACTTCTTGTAAGCTGGTTCGTCGTCTAATGTTATAATGTCTTCTATATTATCTGGAGGTAATCTGAAAAGATTAATAATAAATATCTGAAGTCTACAGTTTACGTAATAATTACACATATACTAGGGTTTAAAATGCGAGCAATAATACGGCGTTATAAAATACTAGCTGTGTCAGCGACTTCGTCCGCGAGAATCGTCGGGCCATCCGTTGGTTTATCCAAATTCGTTTTTGCAAACCCACGACGGTCCCTTCCCGTCGTTTTTGCACGTTGTAGTGTCGGAGACTTTTTTAGATGATTTAAGGAAGAATCATTATTTCATACATATTTTTTGGGTTCTAACCAACACAGAAAGCATTTTTCAATTCGAACGCGTAGTTCCTGAGATTAGCGCATTAAAACAAACAAACAAACTCTTCATCTTTATATATTAGTATAGATTTATTTGAACTACGACGTTTACTAGATTCTCAAGGTCAAAATATAATATTTTTTTGCATGTTTAATGGAACGTTAATTGTTCCAGTTCAGTTTTTCCAAATGTATTAGTATCAGACCATAGTGTTTAAATACGATGTCTGCCCTTATTATGTTTAAGAGTATGTTCTTACTTGTTTTTTCCTATTAGTGACTCCAAAACTTCTCGATTTCTCTCAGACACTTTCTTGGGTTTATCCTTAATAGTCTCTTGTGGCACTTGTAGGGCAAAGTTTAGTGACGGTGGGGAGCAATGTAGATGTAGCCTTATGTCAAGTAAAGCTCTCAAACAAAATGTAGATATCTACAATAAAAAAAAGGTATTTTAATTCTAAATGAGGCTGCTAGAGTCAGAGTGGCCTAATAACAAAAAACATTACCTTCACTTAGGAGGAAAATAAATATGCACAATGAACTTAGGCGAAAATAAATTTGTATTATTATTAATGTAAAAGATATTTTAACAATTCTCGATCACTGTGCTCTAGTAGAAAAACATTTTTAGACCATAAAAATATAAATAACCCAAGTCACAAAATTGCAGTTAGGCCTCTAGTGGCCTCAAATATAACTCATCATCAATTTTACTAATAAACAAGATAAAGCACAAACAAACAGTGTAGCATTTATAATTTACCTCTGGCTTTGTAGAATTGACGAGAGTACTGTACAAATGCAGACAGTACTGTGTTGGCGGAGGTACAGTGTTTGGGGTGGTCTTCCTGCAGGCTTCCAGTACGCGTAGTAACAAAGCTGCTTGCTGGTCAGTATATGAGGTGAGATTGAAGCATTCGCGGACTAGACACTCTTGGAAAATCTGAAAAATAAATGAGTTCTTCTATCATTTAAAATAAAGATCTTCTATCATTTAAAATAAAGTTTTATATTAAAAATGTAATATATGGATAACTCTACTCGGATTTGTTCTATAAATTAAGTGTATATGTATACATTATTGTTTGCGTAGCTATTCTAGGGCTAGGCAGTGCACCAGAGTCCCAGAGCTATAAAGGTTTTAAACGAAATATTAGTAATTAATTATAGATAGGACATCTTTAATTAATTACTAATATTCATATTGTGTCCCCCTCCCCTCGATTGTCATAAAGCATTTGATGGTTATATTATATTTTGTGGTATTTGGAATATATTCTACCTTATGTGTTGTAGGCTTCATAAAAATACCGCAAACAATGAAGACAGTTTCGGCACATTCCAATGCAGCTATTGCCAATTCGACACTCTCTTCACACCTGTAATTTTAATAAGGTCAACATTTGGTGTAAGTAAAAATGAATTTTAATGAAATATTTGTCTCAATCTGGTTCAATAGCTCTTAGCTAGAAGAACAAAAAATATTTTTACCACAGATGTTAATTTCCCGCCAAAAGATATGTAGTTTGCAGATAATTAACATTTTAACTAGGTTCTAGAGACCCACAGAATAAAATATTTTTTTTGTTTTTATTTTTAATCTTTATATACTTTAAAAACTCTTGTAACTTACTTATTATTTTTGTTTTGATCCCCTGGCATGTGTATGGCGAGAGAACTCTCCTGCAGTTGTGTGGTTGCTAACTTTCTTTTAGCCTTCTTGCTCATGTTCTTAGTGGGTTGTGGGCCCATCTGAAATGTTTTGCGATGAGAAATATAATATTAATTACGTAAATGTAAAAAATAGTTATTTTTTGTAAAATAATGTTAATGTAAAATGTAGACATATAAAGCTCAAAACCATTGTTTCTTGTATTCATTAGTTGAACAGCAACCTGGCAAACGTTCTTTTGCCATATGAAGAATTTCGACGTTTCTGGTTTTCGACTGGCAAGCTTTTTGTAAGATTATTTGAAGATTACATATTTTTTAGGTATCTTAAACCGTGAGCACACTCGACGAAAACCATAAAAGATCAAATTTCCCCTGTTTAGGTCACATTTCTTCCTTTTCTTTGCTCCAATTATTTGCATGCAGATTTTCATAGCTTCCTCGATAGTTGGCACAATAAATACAAAAATAATTTTTCAATTCGAACCAGTAGTTCCTGAGATTAGCGCGTTCAAACAAAAAACAAACCCTTCAGTGATATTATATTAGTATACATTTAGTAGAAAACCAATCATACTAACAGTTAGCTGAACTACTTTCTTCGGCGGTGTGATGTCGTTAATAATATGTGTTGTCAATTCGTCTTCTAATGATGCTCTGTTGTCTGCCATTTTATGAGCATGCAACATTGTCAGCCATTGCCGAAGACTGTTATAGGCACCGCAACGAACGGATCTGTAATTTTTATAAATTAGGACACCCATTTACATTCAATTTGCTTTTTTTTAAATAAATAAGTGTTTTATTTAAATATAAACTCTTTTAATAAACAAATAACAAAGATTATAATTATAATTCCTAGGTGGCAAAATATAACTTACTTTAGTCAGAATGCAATACAAAAGATAACTACGTCTGGACAATCTACTATACTAAGTAAATAATTACCTAGTCTCATCACATGGGTTTTCAGACGTCCATCTCAGTGTTTGCATCACAAGCCTGAATACTAATGGAGAGTAAGGGATAAGATGCGGTCCTAGGCTGAAATATATATAAATCAAATGTTTTATATTCATAGGATATTAATTAAATAACTACAAACACTTTTAGATTATTTGAAATTACAACTGTTTGTGACCTATTCAGACATATGTGGTTTTTAATTATAATTTATTTTCTAACCAAAGTTTCACTAAACTATGGAGTTTAAAATAAATGGCTTGTGTGAAAGTATCCTTATTTACAGCTCCTACTGGTTAAACATTATGATTAAAAAGTAGTTATTGCTCTTAGAGCATAAGATGTGGGCTCGCGTCGCGCTCGTGTCATCAAATTTTTAAATAAATATGTAATAGTTTTTTATTCTTCAAAATGTATCACGTTTCATGCGTGACTTTCATTTAATGATATTCGCCAATCAGAGTGTGAAAGTTTTTTAACTGAATAGTTTTAATCTCACATCGATTGTTATTAATACATGCATCTGGTAATACATAATTTATAGAACTGGTATTAAACTATTTTAGAAAAACCTACCACAGAACAAGAGCATCTAAAGTCCTTAAAGCATCGATTTTTATTTGAACAATATCTGCAATTGAATCCTTTGCAGACTGAGCGATACTCAAAGTGTGAACTATGATATCCAATATCACTTGCGGTTGAATTGGTTTTGCCACTGGGTAAGGTTCACTGAAAAATATATAACACAAAATTACGTTCGTTATTTCGGTCGAGAAGGGCACAAATATCAGATCAACTACTTGTAGATAAAATCTATAAGTGAAACCGCCCAATGTTCCATGTCCTACATGGGATTTTACACCATTTATGAATTTTCAATTGTCAATCTTAAGTTTAACACTGCATTAAGTTGTTCAATTATGGCCTGCAGAATGGTTTATAAGCCATTTCCCATTCCGTTTTGTAACCATATATGTATATCTACTAACCCCATATAACGCTAATCAAACGAAAAAGTACTTACACCAGCATTGCTTGAATAAAGGTAAAAACATTTTTCAGTCTTGTAAACAATATTTTCTTTTTGCTACTCTCTTTTTCTGACACATTTCCTAATTTCTTTAATGCTTCTGTCAATGGTGTATTAGGTAATTCTTTAATTTGATTCTGAAAGAAAAGTTAAAATTAAAGAGCCAATTAAAAATAGCAAGGCAATTACAGATTTTTTTCTGGATTTCTTCCCAGACCTAAGTTCCAATGTCAATTAATTTAATTCTTGTTAATTTGGTATTCCTATAGTAATGAGAGCCAATAAAGGATTACACAACTAAGAAAAAAATATGTATGATAAAGAACACAAAAAGGAAGTAACAAAATGAATATTTTTTTAACAACAAATTTAATGCGAAAAGGGTAAATAATTGAATTGAGGAATGGCATGTTCCATATTCCTATAGCTTGACAATACACTTTATATGGTTTAAAATACATAAAACTAAATATCAGACAATATCATATGATAAAAAAATTGTACTTTCCATGTTATTAAAGTGTATATAAAGTAAATTTACAGACCTTTAAATCATTTCTATGTGTCTTGAAAGTTTTAGGAAATAGCTTATTAAGCAAATTGTGAGCCACAGAGCATAAGAGACTCATAAGATTTCTCCATGATGACTTTGGAGTTGCTGCCTTTTCCTGTGATGGTCTCACCTGTAATGTTAAGTCATAAATTAAATACAACTTTTGTATGTTCTGTTGTATTTTTAATGAAGCTAAAAGTTAAATTAGATACAAATGTGATTTATTATATGTTAATTATACATATCTCTACTATAACTAAGATTGTGATTAAGTCTAAATAATCTAACAAAGCTGCTTGAGTTACCTGTTGTAAGGAATGTGCACATTTAGCTGCTTGTATAGCATTGTAGTAATTATTAGTGTCAAGTAAGCTGACAATATATGTCTCTGCTGTTGAGCGATGGGATATGCAGTATTTTGGAAACCTAAACAAAAATGTTTTAAAGATCAAATCAACTCCGAAAGAATTATAATATTAAGAATATTCTCTTAATATAGGATTTAAACATGATCATAAAAAATATAATTTTATTTACACTGTAAAGCACATAAGATGTCAGAAACATAATATTACAAACAAAAGTTATATGCCCGAATAAACTGTAACATGCTAACAAGCCAACTTTCCAGACATATAACTAAAATCTTCTTAATCTTTGATTTCTTTGTTATTTTTTATTAAAAATATGGATTTTAAAGTTTTAAAATAGGAACATTATAATAATACCAATATAATGTATCCTGGGGATATCTTTTATTACTGCACAAGTAATATTCACAATAATACTTAAACCTATGTGAGCTGTTTGCTTACGCAACAACAAACAAATGTTCACTCTAGTAACAAAGTATGAATAAATGGATATATGTGTCTCATTACTCTTTTAGGACTTTTTTAAGTATATATATGTGATTTTTAGGTTATATTACCGGCAAATCACGTCATCCAATGCACTGAGCCATCTGTTAGAGTCAGATTGCTTCAATAGATTTTGGAAAAATAGTGTAACGCACTCCTTAACAGCCTCACTGTTGTTTGCATCCACTTCTCGAATTCTATTAAGTATTTGACCTGAAATTTAACATGTTAACACGTCGTGTTTTCAAGTCACGTTTTTATTTTGTCTCAAAGAAATTTCTATACTCACTCATGCTGGCAAAAGAATTTGACGAAGGTGTGTAGTTTCTTTTTGCGTACGTAAAGAAATTTACAAGTAGGATAACTATTTATTAACAACACATTGATTTTTTCACTTATAAAATAATTATATTCGTCACTCACAAATGCATAACAATTTTTTTTTTCATTTGTGGCAAGAAGAACTAACTATTTGCCAGTGTCAAACATAACAATTTATTTGTCGGCGATAGATGTCAAGTGTCAAAATTAGGAAGTCTAAAGAATAGTCAATATTAGATCACATGCAACAGTAACATATTGTCAGACAGGTGATAAATTTTGACAGTGACATAAGTAATGCACGTCATCTTGACGTCATTTTTTTGCGACTAGCGCTGGGAAATTCAAAATAATATTTTTTTTATTTTTGAATTTTTTTTCCTCCTTTAATGTTATGAATTATTTTATTAGCAGCGTTTATTTTCTAGAATAAGTGCAATGACATCAACATTTGCTGGCTTTAGTGAAGAAGATTTGGAGCGGATAAAATCGGGAGTTGTAATAAAAGGTAAAATCTTCATTGTTTTGCTTTTTCTCATGGGTTCATATAGAAACGCTCACCTCTACCATGCCTATTAGTTAGCATGCTCGACTAAATATACAGTTACATACACCCACTGTTTCTCCGATAAGGATATAGATTTTTTACTGCTACATAGTAACGGATATACCGAAGTGTACCCCTCTTTAATAGTTCCGTTTGCATATTGTATGTATTTAGTGAACAGAGGCAAGATTGATGCCAAACTTTGTTTAAACTATTTGTATTCAACTATACCGCTTTGTTTTGCCCTTACGTGGGAAAAAATCCAATTTCATCGCGTAGTCTGTACACTATCATTAATGTACAGGTTAATATTTGTTCTTTACAGAAACTAAAAATACAAATCCAAGAAGAATACAGCAAATTGGATTGAAGTCCAAAAGGATTTCAGGTCACTCAGTTAGCTTACAAAAACAAGCATCAGATGAAACTGATTTAGACTTTGAACAGTGTAAACTTAGTATATGTACTCCAACATCGCCCGGGAGCAGTGTAAATATGATCAATGAGCAAAAAGTTGAAGATAGTTCTAAATATATCCAAGAGAGCAACATTGAACAACATTATAATGAAAGTGGCCGAAAAATTAGTACAAATATAACACCAGATGTTATTAGACTGGATAATTATATAGAAAATGAAATGGAGACCCATAAAGTTAAGCTGGAAGAGCTTCAGCTTAGACAGAAGTTAATGGAAGAACAAAATAAGAGAAGAAAAGAAATGTTGGCAAGGGCATTGGCTGATAGGTATATATTTTTACGTAAAATTTTGACTATAAGGTTGAACCATAGCTATGGCTATATATATGGGCCTTATTCTAATAGAGTACCAGAGTACTCTACCATAATAAAACCCATACCCCTATTTACAAAGTGGGTATGATTTTAAAAACTTGTTAAATAGGTAATAGTTAAATACATACAGACTTTTTTTCTGTAAACACTACTATGTATTGACTCCTTTGCAAAGTAACTTTTATCTTGATTATAAATTGTTAAAATATCTGTATTGATGTTCAACCAATTTCTTATCTCTTTCAAGTGTCTTATCTTCGGATATGATCATCATACTTTTTAGTTCAGTCTCATTCAATAACTATGGTAAATAAGTTTTATAATCTCATTACTAAAGCAATATGGTGTGTTTTTGATGTATTTTATTTTTTAAATAAATATAAGATAATTGACAAGTCCCTAAAAATAATTTCTGTCTGATTTTGTTAAAAATTTTAAAGGCTATAATTAGAATTTTGTTTGTTACTTTTTCAATGGCATTAAGAAACTAAAGTTTTGTTCTTTCTTGTGCAAAAAGTGATCACACTCCTACTGCCTTTCATACTCATCTATAATCCCATGTAGCTTTGGATTGAAGTAACAACGGTTTAATTTATTTATTAAATAATTTGCTGTCTGCCCTAATCAGTCACTTCTAATATGCATGTTAATAAAATATGCTGTTTCAGGACGAAACAGACAGAGGAAGAGGTACAAAAACTAGAAAAGATAAAGAAAGAACTGCAAGTGTTGGATGGGCAATTCTCACAAGATGTGGCTGTTTTAAGGAAGAAGATAGATCAGGCTTGTCTTTGTTACTCTGAAGCAGAGTAAGTATCGATATTTTACAATTGTTTTATAATTTACAAAACTTTAACCTGATAAAATAATGTGCAACTATAATGGATTGATTGATTCTGTTAACTCGTTTTTAGAAAACATTACTTAAGAGTGGAAAAAGAATTCCTTCAGGCGAAAATCAATCTTCAAAAGGAGAAAGAGAAAAAGGAATTGCTAACAGAACACTTGTGCGCGCTAATCACTCACAACGAGACAAGAAAAGCACAAAAACTAGAAACTCTAATGCTTGAACTTGCCAATGATAAAAACAATGCCATAAACGGTATGGTTAATGCTGCCAATGATGACTTTGATGTTTCAAAGCCAAGTGATGACGTACCGGAAATAATAGATGGTGTCGATCAGAAAACAGGAAAGATGCTAGAAATGTATGAAGATGAATTAAGTGAACAATAGACTACATACATACATTCTACTATATATTTAGTTATGGTCAGAGCTAGTATTACAAAATCATAAAAAAGCAATAATAGTTATCTAAACTATTTATATTTACTGAAACAAGTTGAGATGATTGAAGCCAACTGGTTTGATAAAGAGACAGCATGCTTTAACTTGTTTGAATAGACTAGATAAAAACATTTATACTACGTATGAATATTTTTCATTTGTTTTATTTTTAAATAACTAATAATTTGAATACTATATTGTCATGACATTACTTAAAAAAATAATGTTATGCAGACAAACCTGTACTTTAAATGCCTTATAGTTTATAACATATTTGTATACATTTACATACTGTTAAGAATAATATAATTAATAATGTTATACTCAAACAGAGTCACTGTCAGATATATTTAATAAAAATATAATCGAAATATATTTTAATATTGCCAATAAGAGTTTTTTTATACTGCCACATAGGAGTCAATAAGCTTTGATGTATGTTTATAATCTAAAGTGTTCTATGTAATACAGGGAGTAATACTAAAGTAAGAATAAATAAAACAACAGTAGAGTTCAACTTCTACTTAAATTTTGTATAACACTTTGTACAAAGGTACGTATTATTTACACTCAGTAAATAATGACTGCACAAGTTAAAATTCTGCGCATTGGCAATGGAAGTATAATTTTTCATATACTCTTGGAATGCTTAAATTAGTCGAAAATAAAATGGTCGCTAAACATTGTTTGTTTTCTGCCTACACTATATTACTTGTTAGTGTTCACTACAATATGTTTAATAATCATTAGTGCTTTGTTATTAAAAATAGAAAGAATGGCTCCAAAATCTTCCCAAAGTTACTTGTGTTTATGAATTGTAGAAAACTATTATTATACACATATTATTGCATCGTTTTTTTTTACTATTGCCCTTTACCATTGTCCATTTCATGAATACTTTTTTTTATAGAAGAATGTTCATCTACGTTTTGTAAAGAACATCCTTCTACTTGTATGCTATCCCCAATTCCAATAGGAGTATTTTTTATCGTTTGGTTTTAAAATGGCGCGAATATTCGCGTCGGCGTTTTGTAGTTCTTTCCTATTTTCTCGTTCAATTTGTATTAATTCTAATCCCCGCTTTGCAGCACAGTGATAACGTTGGCTGAGTGATGCTTCGGATCCTTTGATGCGAGGTATGTGGCCTGTGTAGCCAGCTATGGGTGGAAATTCTGGTGATATTGTGTTTTCTGAAAAAGTACTATAATTGTGAGTGTGTCCATTGATTCATCTATACTAATATAGACTTAGTAATATATAAAGCTGAAGAGTTTGTTTGTTTGTTTGAACGCGCTAATCTCAGGAAGTAAAGTTCGAATTGAAAAATTATTTTTTTGTTGGTTAGATCATTTATCGAGGAAGGTTATAGGCTATAACACATTACGACGTGACTAATAGGAGCAAAGATACGGCGAGAAATGTGAACAAAACGGGGGAAATTCTTCATCTCTGTAGGTTTCAGATGCGTACGCAGCGAATACGGTTCAAGATACCTAAAAATTGTGTATGAAAGAATGATTCCCCTTTAAATAATCTAAAAAAAAGTCCGCAACGCTATATCTCTATCTTTTAAGATTAACTTGCAAGAACGACCCGAACGACGGCATACGAATGTCGTGGGTAACAGCTTTCTACAGTAATATTATAAAGAGGAAAGATTTGTATTTTTGTATGTAACGGATAAACTCAGAAAGTACTGGACCGCAACGGGAGGTGTAAAAAAATTTGCCATAAGGGGTTGTCCATTAATCACGTGATCTTTTTTTTTGAATTTTTTAACCCCCCCTCCCCATTTTACATTTAACAAATTGATAGAAATACCGAACAAAATCAAACCGTGTTATCCATACCATTTATACATTTTTATTTAAATAAATCTTTAAATAAGTATTATACATGCGAAAGTAACTCTGTCTGTCTGTCTGTCTATCTGTCCGGCTTTAACTCGGAAACTGCTAAATTGATTTAAATGAAATTTGTTACACAGATATTTTAGAGTCTGAGAAATGACCTTTCTCAGGCTCTAAAATATGCTACTTTTTAATGCCAAAAAAGGGTTGATAGGGCTCGAAATGTGTATGGGAATTCGTGGTTTTTGAAGCTAGAACAATAAACCTTTCTTCTTTGACTTCTTGGGAATAGGAGTGGGAGTGAGAGTGAGTGTAGGAATGAAAGTGGGAGTTAGAGTAGGAGTGATGTGAGGTGGAGGAGAGTGTTGCGGCAATGTAGCACTTGCAACATAGATTGGCTGCCCTAAATGCGACCTTACATAAATTAATAAACAGCCTAAATAATTAAAAATTCTACCACAAGTCACTATTCCACGCGGACGAAGTCGCGGGCACAGCTAGTATATCATAAAGTACAGGACCGATATAGGTACCCAGGAGGACACCTATAAAAATTAACTGTGAAATAAAAGTAAAAAGTTAAACTCTTCTCTACATAAGTAGTACTCATATGAAATTCAAAGCTGTCAAGTAGATTAATATTGAACAGTAGGTAAGCTACGTGAATCTTATTCAGGCAAGCTTTTCCGCGAACCCCACTTAGCATAATCGAACTTACCCTTGTATTTGTTGATCTCAGTAAATCTGTTGAGATCGCGTCTGATCTCGTCCCTAGAGTGTATGGTCTCCATTTTTGGGGCGCTGCGCGATCTGACATAGCTCTTGTTCAAATCGGCTTTTCGCTTCAACTGGCGTTGGTTCCGTGAGAAATCCGCCATGCAGTCGTCAGCTGTCCGTCCGTACGATTTGCCGTAACTGCAAATAAAATACCTGATGTGGTCAAAGTTCTGGTAGTCTTTTATTTGAAGAGTCTCTTGTTAGTCTCAAATTATATCCTCTCCAACCCGCCACCCAATTTATTTAATACTTATTCAAATAAAAACGTTTCGTTGATAATCTCAGAGATTCACGGTCGTATTTACAATACATACTAAACTGACACTTTTTAGTAATTGATAATAAAACAATGCCAACCATAGACTATGACATCGCTCGAGTACCTAGTAAATATTGTAGGGAAATATAATTTAAAAAGGAATAATTAAAGCTTAACAAGCCATTGGATTATTAGGTTACTAATTGAAGGATTATTAGCAATGGCGTTAAATGGTTAGTAGATAATTACGCAAAGCTCATCCCGGGAACATATCCCGTGTACCCAGTCATGTAGGCGGTCTGTCGATTGCTCAATCCATCGTAGACGTCGCGCGAAGGCAAATCGCGACGAGGCAAATTGTTTACCTCGTAGTTGTCCCCTTTGCGGTACTCGAGGGGTTTGCTGAAAGAAATCTATGCTTATAAAATCGAAAAATATTTCTTGCATCAGTCACAGTGTGTGACATCTTAGTTTATTAGGCACTATATTTATATACTGTCTATAGTTTACGCGAGTAGTACACATTTAAATAAACCACTTTAACGGTTTAAAACGCGATATATTAGTTAAACTTATTTGAAAATGATTTTTAATTTCGGCCCGACGTTTCTGATGCTTTGCAGCAGCCGTGGTCACGGGGAGACTGGTCTCCCCGTGATATTACATATCAATAAAATATATGTTATTTCGTACTTAAAAAGTCCCTTAGAGCGGATCTCTCGTAGTATTTGCCTGGTATTATCGCCATAACACTTGCCATAGCGAAACTTAAGCAGAGGACAGTGACCGGTGTACCTGAAAAAATATACATTCTGTATTGAAAAGGCAAACATTTTTGCATTTCGGAACATTTACCAATTAATTTATACATATTTCCTTAAATTATATATAATTTAAAATGTTACGTAATAATATCTAAGTTTTATTAAACAATTCTTAGTTACAATATAATAGGATAGAACGCCGGTTATTTATTAAATATTTTAATGTTACTATTTTAAATATCAAAGTACCGAGGTCTTAACATTAAAAACATTTTCAAAAGTTACAGGAATGAAATAAAATACGAACGAATGCGTAATCTTATTTATTCGATATCCAATATCTGTAAATTTCACGGTGACTAAACTTTATTGAATATTACGGACAATCTTCGTACGCGAAGCAGTACCCCGAGGGTAGATGTAGCACAAACGGAAAGTCGCAATCGCAGCGCGACCAGTCGCAGATCGCTCCCATCGACAATGCGACCGGTTCGTCGCACGTACGCTGAGATGGCGTCGGCCGGCATTCACTGTTCAACCTATGCATGTTTTCGGGGCATTCATCCACACCTGTAATATACATTATAAATATTACTACAACTGAAAAAAATACAACAGTATATCCCAGAGGAAAAAAAATACAATAGTGATCTTATTCCTTTTGAAATACTTTTCTCATTCTTATTACAAACAGATTCACATTATCAACAACAATAATGTAGGTAAAGTAACTGTTTAATAATTTACTTGCAAAAGTATATCAGTGTAGAACATTCATCAGTTTCAATTTACAGGCATTTTCTGTGTCTTTTAACTGATCAGGTTATGTCTTTACATTCAAATAGTTGATCAGCCTTCTGTCCTGCCCGACCGAATGATTCTTTTCCTGGGATTTCAAACCAGGATCGCTCGTGCTTAACATAATTCTAGACAGTATGTTTAGCTATGGAGACGTTGAAAGTTTAATTTTTTACTCTTAAAAGGAAAATAATTAAAAGTACTTACACGTTCCGTTATACATGAGACAGCCCGGCTTCCCGACCTTACCATAGTACATCGGTGTTGCGGATTTTATTATGCACAACAAGAATATTAAAAGCATATTAGTAGAGGATCTTTAAACACAACCACTTTTCGCGATTCCCTATATGTTTGTGAGTAACTTCCCTATTTAGACAGAAAGCTGTAAACAGAGATTTCCTGTTGATATTCGTTATTCGTTGGGTTAGTAGAAAAGTATCTGAATGGTCACATAGAATTTTAAGCAACGGAATTTTCAGTCAGTCATTACTGTTTATACTTGTTAGTACGACAATCTTGAAATATAGTCATAATTATTAGAGTTCTATCTATTCTGTGTGAAGGTCCTAGAGAAACAGATTGTGCACAACCGGGGTTAAAACTGTGAACTTTACTAATGTCCTTACGCTTGTCATTAGAACGACATGTCTCTCTTAATTAAAATTAAAATAACTGAGTCCACACCAAAGTGCACACACATAGTAAATTAGACAATGATATAAGAAAATAAACAAATGAGTTACAATTAACACGTAGGTTCACTAACATGGAGACTAACATGGTGGGGGGACATCGATGTGATGCCCCACGGATGACATAGAGAATAGAATTCGTAGATTATGCCAAAGCAATATGGCTATAAATATATTAAATGAAACATGGATTTTATATTGAAATTTTTTTACGACACGGGTGGGATTTGTACCGTTATACCTATTAACTCCTTAACAATGTCCGTGTTTACTTTTATTCGTTATAATTATTTAATATAACTGTATTGTTATTGATCGATGGTTACAACTATGTTTCGATTTAAATTAATTATTTTTACAATATACAAACGTGTTGGTGTACTTATGTGATTCTTATTTGCAACGAGAATTGTCTTACGATCCCCCAGAATAAATCATCTTTCCTTTTTATGTTAAATAATAAATTAAATTTTGTGTCAAAAGGTATAAATAGTGCTTATTCTGAGAATAGCTGTTTTGAATTGATTTGTTGAGGACAAGAAAAAAAACTATATCAGTTCTTCAGTAGAGCACAAAGTATGTTTTTCTTAAGAAATGAAGAAAGTTAATACTTTTGAAACATATAATAAAGCAATCTATTCAATTCACTCTACAAAGGGTTCATTTTCTTCGGGGATCCTGATCCTTGAAGACGGTTTCTTCTTACGACGTCTCTCCTGGTCGGTGTCGCCGTGTCGTCTGCGCACTTTATCTGGAAAACTATTTTGTTCGCAGTAAGCCCGGGTCACGCAATATCCGGATTTTTCATCAAAAACTAATTCGGCGTTGCAGTCACAACGGGACCAGCCGCATGTATAACCTACAAAACTTAAGAGTTTAATAATTCACAAAAGCACTGACAAAATGTATCAAAATTGGTCACGTGGTTTGGTCTACCTTTTTTAACAGATAAGAACAGACAAACACTTGATAGAAGGTGACTTTACCCAATAAATATCCTTCTGGAGTGTCGCATGTTTTCTGGCCCATCGTCTGCCCATCGCATTTTGTATGATAGGGGTGCATTTTTTTAGGACAAAATGCCACACCTACGGTGATAAAAAAAATTACATGGAACAACTTTAAACGCAAATCTTCCAACTTCAAACATCCACCTACGACATTTTAGGTGCTTCAAAAAAAAAAATCACGAATATAACACAAGGGGGGGGAGGGGGGTTATAGTAAGATATCTCGTGTATTTATTTTTTCGTCAAACGCGCGATTTTTAAACAAATGGTGTAAACATTTTTATTATGGTCCTTAATTTCAGAATAAAATAAGATTATAGTTTATACCTATATTTATATTAAGAAAATATTCAGAAAATTTTAAGATTCTTAGTAGGTACTAAAAATATACGTGATGTTGAGAAGGGGGAGGGGGTGGTCTTAAACCTCACTACGTTTCACCAATGGGGGAGGGGGGGTTTAAAAATTCTAAAAAAACGGTCACGTGATTAATGGACAACCCCTAAGTTTTATCTGTACTCAATGCTAGAGATAAAACCTATTTATAATCACTTACCATACTTTAAAAGTAAGACGAAACGAAAAGGTCAAAGTATGGATGAATTTGAAAATCTTGTCAGATACCCTTATGTCTCGAAGTTTACTAATTATAAGAAAACTCAAGACCACAAAGGCTATGGTCATACAACACGTTAGAACTAACTTTAACAATTAAAGTCTTCTTGCTAAGTTCTTAATAGATTTTTCTTTTGTTCAGTTGTAAATTGTGCATCTTGCATTGGGCGTGAGACATCTTGGTTCTGAATTGGGAAAACAGTTAAATATAATGATAAATGCGGATTCCATGGAATTACCTCCATGTAAATCGTAAAGCGAATGCAGAACAAAATGACGTTCAATAAATATAAACAAAAGATTGATAATATCGAAATGACGAAGTCTCGAACCCACGTGGGGCAGGATTGATCGCTGATTCAAAAATACGCGTAATGTACGATTGTAATTAAATAATACATATTCAAATATTCTTTACCTTACTTTGAATTTCTGAATGTCTCTCGTTAGTGTAGGGGTTAATTGAATCGAATATGGTGAAATTTTAGTTCATTTGGAATTCTAAGAAAATTCTAGCAGTTATCCATGGGTCGGCGCATGCAAACCCTCGAGCCTCGAAGACGTCGTCGGGCCACGCTATCAACACTAATTTAGTGCTGGCAGTGGTTAAAGACCCACCTTTACTGGACCAGCATGGTCCAGAATCCATGTCAAATGGAGGGACGAAAATAAAACGTATACTTACACTGCCCACGATGCAATAAACAGCGTCTGTTATCCAACAATCCAGAAGCTAAATAGAAAATGGATAGTAAAATGTTTATCTCGAAGATCATTGTTCTAAGTCTTGACTAACAATACTCAATTCTCACGCTGCCAGAATATTATAAGTGTGTTATTGTTTGATTTTGTTGCGTTTCCGGATATTGAGGTGAATAACGATCGCCAAACTTTCCTTTCAAACAAAGCAATTCTTTGAGGCTTCAGTTTTAATAACACAAAGAAATTGTTTTACAAAACGAGCAAAATCGTTTTATGAACGTAAAATATTGTTAAATAAAACTTTTTCTGGTTTTTATGGTGGTAAATATGTTAGTATTTTATTACCCCCATCTTTAACATCCGAAACCGGTCGTTGTTAGAAACAAATTACTTATGATATTAGCGATATATTGCGCGTTTTCAACCGTTAAAAGTGCTACATTTTATGTGCATCATTCACGTAAAGTACGGGTATTGTTCTTCGTATCTTTGTGGCTATATATATGGTGTCAATCATACATTGATAGCGAATAGCTTTTATACCTTTAGAATTGCGGGTTAAGTATGAAAAGTCCTTTAATACAGTTTCAGTAAAAATAAAACTTCTTTCATTTATTTTTTTAAAGCCTATTTAAGGCACCTTTTCAAATGCATCGCCCTACATAAACAGATATAATAAAATAAGGATAATAGTAAGTATCCGATATTTAGTACAATATATTGTCTGCGTGTGTACATAGTAAAGGTCGGTCTTGTAGAAATGTCTGGTGTGTTCAAAAATTAAAGCACATTTTAATACAATACGGATCAATGTTTACAATCACAGCAGCACGCGATTTGTCAAGGCCGATTGTAAACTGATTCTGTTTGATATGCGATATGAGAAAGCAATCACTGTACAGTTATAAAAACAACTCGTGAAACATACAGATGTTTGCATGATCCATCCGTAATCATTGCTAAGTAATTAAATAATTTGTCTATTGATGAAGACTTGATGAAGGTGAAATTGTCCAACTCTATTAGGTTATATAATCACGCGTATGTTATAAACTTGTATATATATTTAGCGTATAATTAAAAATCGCTGTCTACCTATTTTGTCTATAGATATTTAGAAAACATACTAAAACTCAAATGTCAATTGACACGCAACGCCTTTTCGCAGTTGACGCAAAATTAAAAAAAAAAATAATCGATACTGCTACTTAACGATATATTAAGAAGATAGTGGCATATAGAGCATTTAAAATAAGTCTTCGATATTTATAAATTTGAATCTTTTTTCTCACTCTATCTCTAATTGCATAAGATACCTGTATACAAACATCACAAAGAGATCTAAAAAATCAAAAAGTCAAAAATTATAGATAGAGCTCCTAGTAAACAGATCACACAGAACTATTTAGTTTTACTGTGTAATCTGGTTTAGCAATCTATGCAATTTTCCCCCCTTTCCAATCATATATCATGAAGCTAAGACCGAGATAGTGGTGTGCCAGGAACGGGGCTCCGCGGTACGGCCTTGCTACGTCGAACGTGCTGATAAAATCGTAATGATTCCACTACATCTTCGTCTGCTCGTGATAGGTGGCAATGGGGCGTTCTTATCATTAAAACTTAGCTTAGATGATATTGGAAGGATAATGTTTGATTACCTTTTTGCCTCGTTGGTCTAATTATAAGAAAGTATAGCAAATAGTCAACGGCTTGATTTAAACCAGATCTAACATGTTTATAATATAAGTAATTTTTTTTGACACACTTTTGGCTTCGTCTAGAAAATCTGGATAATTAACTATTTGGTAGGAGTAGGTATCAGATTTATAAAGATCGTTAAAGAAACTTGGTGTAGACGTCGTAAAGTACAGACAATGTCGGAATAATTATTGTATAATTTGAAACGAAGCCAGATTATCTGGCGTCGACACTAATAATTTTATCCACTTTCATTTTATATCACGATTTACTCAAGTACGATTCGGCGTAGCTAATAGTAATTTTGATTCGCGGGTAGTCCGGAAGCGTCCCTTACCACGATAACGCGGCGTCCAAATCGATCGAAATAGAACCATGTGTGTTGGGGCTTTCCTCAAGGTTAAACCTCTGAAGGCTATGACATAGTAATCTAATAGTGATAATGGATGTATTTAGGTTTGTTACTTTTCACCTGAATGAATTTACTCTCAGCAATCATTTATAAAATCTGTTGCTGAAGGAAAATACAGCAATCATTTATTCACATGTTATTTTAACCTACAACTTAGGTCAAAATAACAAGCCGACTTGTGAGAAAAACGTTATTCTTGTGTTTCGAAAGTTAACACCAATACGTATTGTATATTTAGGTATGTGTGTAAAACGTGCCTAGCTGAATAGAAGTTGCTTTGTTCAGAGTAAATGATGAACCTATTTCAATACTTATAGTTTTCTAAAAATAAACTTAAAATAAACCAAGCCAGTTATAATAGACACTTAAACATTCTAGGCTTGAAGCCAAGTTAGGCCATTTTACAACTTTCCGGATAACTTTCATTTATGGTACTTTATACGTAAACTTTAGTTTACAAATACTTTGGAAAACTTCTACAAGTTAAAATAATGATCGACTTAGCACCGTTTGTTATTAACATCGTAAATAGTTTTAACCTTAGAAATGTAGTTTACATTGATGAAGTACTTAAGTTGAATTAACAGTAAGGCAAAGGATAAAGTTTATAAGGATTAAGCAATAAAATACGATTAAAAAGGTTTCACTTCGTTTCAGTGTTAAAAGAAATTCAGTCGTCTACTTGCGACAAACTTTAACACATACATACATAATAATATAATATATTCCTTTTTTATAATAAAAAAAACATAAAATAGCACTTTATACTATTCAGGAATTACCTAAAACAAAACATTAAATATATCGCAACATTATAATATATATTATTTTCATTTTACAGTGTTGTATCGAACAAAAATCTATATTTATTTCAAACGTCCTAATTATTCAATTATGAGGAGTTTGCGATGTTATTTCTAGTTAAAGAAATAATTTTAGCTGGTAATTGATTATTTTTAATAGGTATAACGAATCATGCGAACGCAGAACCGTTAACAGAACGACATTGTAAAGTTTTTTATCGTTTTATATACATAATACCTCACTTAATAACTAGTGGAACGTAACGATTAACGACAACAATTTGCCTAGTTTCTCGTTGTTATAGAATTAACACGCAAACTCTTGGAAAAATAATAATTTTGTGCTCAACCTATCTGTTATAACTTACCCGGGTATAAAAGAGCCGTTAGTTTGTGTCAGATAACTTTGCCTTTCGCGACCTGTGACATCCACCCACATTTTACTTAAAGTTTATTTATTTTCGTAACAAATACATGGCGTTACTTTAGACAGCGTAAGTCCTCTTTAAAAGGCTCTGATAGACTGAAGAATGGTCGCAAGGTTATATCTAATAAGGACATAGTATACTTACTTGGAAAGTAAAAATGCGCGCGCATTTGGGTTAAATAGTAAAACATACATATGAAAAGTTATAGGAAAAACATTTTTGTTTTATGATAACACAGTGTTCGAATGTTATTTATTATATTTAAGCGGCAGAAGGGAAAAAAAAGATTTTTTACCTTTACAGACCAGTTGGCTTGTTGTACGTACTAAGGTCGTCTACTTGCAACCTAGTAAGTAGGTAAATAGGTAAAATCTACAGGTTGTGGTATTTCTAATTCATAAAATAATTCCAATTTTATTTATTTATATAAGCTTGTCTTCAATTAATTTAGGCATTGGTATAACTATCTTGTAAGTTTCTTGTACTAGTATGAGTATCACAGGACTTATATTTTTATACTAATGGTAATTAATACAGTATCAGTAATTTCTAATCATTTAGTACCAGTACCAGTTTAATGAATCATAATAACAATATCTTGTTTATAGTTCATAATAATAAAATAGATATTCTATAAAATCCAACTTGATTTCCATTCTTAAACTGGCTAGTGTTACTGAATATCGTCAAAGTTAATTATTATTAATATTAAAGATGAGTCTTTGATTGATTTTTTTTACATTTTTATGCATCTGTTTCAATAATTATAATTAACATAATCTGTGTCTGACAGTTGAATAAACTTTTGACAGCTTGCCTTATCTGTGCAATCAGTTATTCGAGGAAAGTTGTTGTGAGTCAGACGATTCGTCGGCTTTTAATAAAGATTTTAATGTAATTCAATATCATTCATCAGTTTAAGTATATTATGTAAAATGGCTATTAACTTAGATAAATATAAACCCGATCTTATTGCTGCCTGGAAAGAGGTTTTAGACGAGAAAAGTGAGACCGATTGGTAAGTTCAATCAAGCATTGTACTTGCCTCTAAATTAAGTAAACAGTACGAATTAATTCTATTTTATGATTTAACAGTCGAGCGTTTAGTTTTTCCGTACACACGTATGCATATTATAAGTTAACGTGGGTTGCTGATCATTTCCGTTCGATAAGACTTGTGCGATTTTTTGCACTGGAATTGATACTAGTTTGATTTAATTATAATAAAAGAACCAATTAATGAGAGTTACTAATTTACACCTTTCAAGTATACATGTTTACAGTACTCTAGAAAGGTGTGAAACAGTGAATATAATTGGTTTTTCCCATTTGTGACATTATTGTATCAATGGTTTATATATACTATTAACTGAAATGTTAATTGTTTTTGTAATATAAATTTATGTAATTTAATTTACTTTTCAAGAATAATGAAAAGTGATATGTAACTTTTTGATGATTGTAATTAAAATTAATTGTATTTGCTTGTTTCAGGGCCCTATTTGGTTATGATGGACTGTCAAATGATCTCAAATTTATCAGCAAAGGTGATGGTGGTCTCACTGAATTGGTGGATGAGTTTAACAGTGGAAAGATACAGTATGCCTTCTTAAAGGTGGACATTCCAAATAGTAGCATATCTAAATATGTACTTATCAACTGGCAGGTAAGATAAGATACCTTTGTGCTTTGTAGAAGTAACATTTATCTTAGGGTAAGGTATGCTTTATAGTGGCCAAATTTTATTTCACTGCTTCGAACAAACTATTTTTGAATTACATTGGAATTAGTCAACCAATAACTAATTCCTACAAACTTCTTATAATTGTAGAAAAATACTTTTTTTCAATGTCTAATTATTATTATTTAGATGACTTTAAAAAAAGAGATTGTCAATTTGATTTGTATTTATGCACATAACGTTGTGGTTTATGAATTGGTTATTCTAAATATTCCTAAATTCCAAATATTCCTAAGACAATGGGACCATTAAGGAAATCAGGGTGATCACAGACCAGCAAATGACAGGGGACTTTTTAAAATCAGAGGGATGTTTAGAGTGTTTTATTATTTTTTATACAGGCATTGGAATCTAAAAACCTTATAAAATGCAAAAAATACAAGTATAATAGAAATATGTTTATACAAAAACAACACCAGATTGACAACAATATACTATAAATATATATCTAAATACATATAAAATACAATAATACAGTGCCCACTGAAAAGACTCGGCTATGTTGGGACTAATGTCCCATTCCTAATATTCTGTGGCCCCATTCAAGACCAAGCTATTTTAAGCAACTATTACAATGCTTTTTATTTATAGGGTGAAGGTGCTCCCACAGTAAGAAAAGGTACCTGCGCGAACCACGTCAAACATGTAGCGCAACTCTTCACGGGTTTCCACACGACGATGCACGCAAGAACAGAGGATGACCTAGACGAGAAGATCATATTGGATAAGTTGGCAAAGGCTGGATCAGCTTTCAACTTCAAAACTAGCAGGCATGAAGAGTTGCCGCCTAGCGGGCCGATCGGCACTACTTATCACAAGGTTAATCCAGGTCAGTTGAAATGAATTTATAATATATATAATAAAACTAGAAAATATGCATACAAAACCGCTAGGTATATAAAGGGTTCTTGCATATAAATATTGTTTGTGTTCATTTTGAATCAAACTAACTCAGCATTTGGTATTTAACTTTAATGGCTGCAAAGCATCCGAAACATCGGGCCGTAGTCAAATTTTTTAAATGGGTTTAACTAATTTATTGCGTTTTAAACTGTTAAAATGTTGCATTTTAATGTAACTACTCGCGCAATCTACAGGCAGTATTTGTAGGTTTTGTATTAAAAATCTTATAAAAAAATCTGCTTCATCGTATTTTATAATTCAACGAGCATTCCACACAAATTATGATATTGTTTACCATTTTCGAGAACAATGCAATATTTGCAGGCATGGCAAATGCATTGTGTGTAAAGTATAAACATATAGGACGCCCCGCGCAACATCATTATGCCACAAACTGCAGAAATATGAGTTAAAGAAGACAATATCTGCAGTCCATTTTAAATCATATTAGACTAGTAGCGAAAAAAAGGCAATATTTTATGTCAGTATATTGAAATTTAATGGTATAATTATGCTACCAATAAATTAAAAAAAAACCTTACTAAAATCTTTGTATATGGTAATATCATATATTTTGTGTTCCAGTACAAGAAATCAATTCTAAAGAAAGGGACCAGTTCTGGTTAAAAGAAGAACAAGAGGAAAAGAAGAGAATAGAGGCGGAGCGAAAGAGAAGAGAAGAGGTATGTAGGTGGTAAAACATATTCAATGTTCTAAAACTACCAAAACATTTAATTTTCTAGAAGTTTAATTGTATGCCTTAGGGGAGTTTTTTTATTTTTCAATTCGGGTGGTTGATTTAAAGAATGATTCAGAAGAAAGAAGGGCACTTAGCGCATTTACGCAAACAATATAATATGTCTACTAGTCACCCACAACACAGGCTTGCCCTAGTGTGTAGACTAGGGATTATTTCTACCATGTATATGAAAACAATAAAGATACTTTTTTTGTTTTCTTTTTCTAGGAAAAGAGAAAAGCCGAGGAAGAAGGAAGAAAAAGAGACGAACGCGAAGCAGCGAAAAGAGATAAAGCTGAACAGTAAGTTTCTCTTTTTGTGTTGCGTAAAATGCTATAGAAATAGGCGACGGCTGGACCTTTTAGCTGTATTTTATTCCAGAAACATATCGCAAGAGAAAGCACCCAGATCTAGTGTAAGTGAACGGAGCGTTGAGGCTCGCGAACTAATTGGTGCTTCGACGTCGGCTGCGAGAAAGATGTTCCAACAGAATCTGGCGCAAGGGCAGATTTATAATAGGTGAGCATGGTGTATGTTTTCGGTCTCTATATTATGCAGCATTAAAAACCCACATTAATTAGGATCATAATTACAAAATATATATTAATTTTATTAAAGGATAATGTGTATATAAAATAAGCTAAACACCCTTCACAACGTTTAATTCTGTTTTGTATGTATTTTAACACCATATTTCTCATCTATTAATAGATCTCCATCAAATATACCAGAGAAACCAGTACGAAGTTCAGTTATCGCGCAACGCATCAATGCGTTCTCGCAAAATACGTCACAGCCCTCATCACCCATTCACGCACCTAAATCACCGACCATAGAGAAACCAGCAGAACCGAACAACGTCACCACCGAGCTACCTCCTATCCCGCCGACCACAGATAAGACGATAGACAAACCGGAATCGCAAAAGTTACAAGAAGATACAACTGAGCAAGCGAAGACGAGCCCCCTCAAAAACATAGATAAGATAAAGATGAGCTTGGAGACGCCGTCACAGATACAATATGAGCCAATAATAGATCCAACCGTGGATTTGAGCCCGAGCACAGAGAACGAACCGAGTTCGTTTAGCGCGGTCAATTACACAGAGTACCAGGATTTCAGAGATTTGAAGCAATGTGAGCCGATGATAAAGCAGAATATTCTAGAGAACGATATATTTGACGCGTCCTACTCGAGTTCGAATGAGAACGATGACGATGATTCAGATAATAAGTTCAGTACGATTAAACGGTCCCCGTATAGCAAGAATAATGATGCAGAATTGAGTAGACAGAATACGGTTATCGAGAATGTGAATTATAAGAAGGAAAATGGGGCAACGCATGAAGGTGAGTTTTTATGGAATTGGTTTTCATACTGGCCGCTAAAAACTGTTAAAAATCTGCTAGATAACTTAAATATTAAAACAACACTATCGTTATTATATTTATCGACAGGTGTTTGACGATTTTCTTAAATGTTCGACCAAGAGTCGTAATTTAGACTTCACAAACTAATATATCATGATCAGTAGGAGGTTTATGCTACAAAAATGTACATTGTTGAAATCATAATAATGTAAATGTAATTTTTAGTATACTAGAAATGACGTGATTTCCTTTCAGATATATCTCCGGAAGGTAATGACGAGAATTCAATATATGAAGACCTGGACGATGATCCTGGGCTAACTGCGAGGGCACTGTACGATTATCAAGCTGGTAAGTTGATATTATATTTTTGAACATCAAACATTTTGTATTAATAAGAGTATATAGTATAATGCCCAAGATAAATTGAGTCTACGAATATGTATATATAGTGAGGTCAAAGGGAGGGAAATTTATTTATTCTTTAGTAAAGTTAAACTTTACTAAGTAAAACCTATATGCTAGAATGTAATGGGTGGCCTTATCGCTTACAAGCGACCTCCTCCAGGCATCCAAAAAATTTGGAGAAAATTTTTTTAGAGAATTATATTTACTTTATTTAACAAAAACAGAATTATAACATTATTTTTACTTAATTATTATGTGTTGCAGTACTAGCCTAAACTTAATGTTTCAGCGGACGATACAGAGATTACGTTCGATCCGGGTGATATAATCACTCACATAGAGCAGATAGACGCCGGCTGGTGGCAGGGGCTCGGCCCCCACGGGGTCTTCGGTCTGTTCCCTGCGAATTATGTAGAACTCCTACCTTGTGATCCACGCTAGGTATTAAAGAATAATTATGAAATTATTCACTCTTAAAGTTGGGTGTAGATCGCGACACTTAAATTGAGCAACCCTTGTAAATCAAAATAAAGTTGCATTCCTCAGTTCAGGCCACTAACGGACAATCGAAACTGAAAAGAGTCTAAATGTTGCAAGCGTTCAAACAACGCCTTTTTAACATTTTATAACAATAACACAGTTACTAAGGTTATATGACCATTTGTGACATGAGGTTTCTAAATTACTACTAGACTACCCTCAAACGATTTATCGTCACAAGTGCTCAAATTTCGCGCCGCGACCAATATTCAGCGCCAGGAAACATGTAAAACTATGATATTAAACGCTACGATATTCTAAGTCAAGTTATTCGTGCTAAAATACAAAGCGAGAGCAGACGCGGCCTAACCAACATTTGGTGCGATTTATTTATACTCATTAATTATAAAAAATTGGATTGTCTCAACATGTGATTACTAACAATTTGAATAAACACCAGCTTTGACCAAAACCAAACATCTGATCTAAATCATCATAAGATATGAGACAGAAAATGGCTGTGGGTATCATATTTATTTTATCTAAATACAGAAAACTACCCTCCCCCTAAATGCTTAAGAATCCGATGGATAAAGTTAAAGATTGCTCATCTGAGCAAGCCATCTAGCTTAAGACTTATTGGCGATGAATGAAAAGCAGAAAAGACGTATAAGATGATAAAAAATTGGTTTTGGCCATAAAGAATGACGTAATGATTTCATAAATTAACACAGGCTCTTTTGCTCACGCTGCTGTAAAATAAATAGTCTTTATACTTCACTAATAGATCAACTATTTCATCTACCTAGAAGAACCTAATTTTTATATACATTTTCGATTCACTTGAAGTATTTTAAATAGCATTTTTGAAATCTAGAACGGTTTTTAGACCGCGAACCCTTCAACTTTTCATAGTCTAAGTATATTTGACACCGTTTTCCTAATAGACAATTGATTTTTCTTCTATTTTAGGGGTTCAAACATTTGTAAGTTAGTACGCCTGCAATAATTACTACGGAACGCTGTGTGCTGATATATCGCAATAATTGTATTTCGACCGAGATTGGTGTATACAGGTTGTTGTGATATCAAAGTAGTTTAAAAAACATTATATTGTAAAAAATAATATTATTAATAAATTATTTTAAGCTTTCGCAGCAATTTTGCTAAGGAACTTGAGTTATAGACGCCCGATAAGCCCGACAAAGCATGTCGCTTTTTGTATAGACAGAAACTTTTGTGAATACTGCCCGTATAAAATATGTGTCCAAGCTAAAATTCAAATACACTTTTGTCTGTACTTTTAACTTAATATATTTCGCGTTTTAAACCGTTTAAAGTTGTGTATCATAACAGCCTGTGTAATCAATTCGTACAAGTTATATATGTATATTATGACCAATATGTTAAGTTTCAACATATGATTACGTTAGTTTTAATATACTCTATTCATTTATTGTTTAGGTTTTAATTTGGGTGTTTGACTTTTCATTTACTCTCTTTTTATGGCCGTCATGTTATTAAGATGTGATATTTTTATTACTAGCTCTACAAAATGACAATTTTAAATTACGTTGGCGTCAGTCTTGTAACATTGCCCTCATCGATGGAAAATACAATATATAATGTATATTGAAGATGTTACACGAGATAGATGATCTTCTACAAGTGAATCAGATATGTCATAAAAAACATATTTTCGAAGGAATAATACAAGAGAGTAAAAGAAATATACTTCAGCTATATGAAAACATAACATATATAAATGCGATGCTATACGAAGCTTTCAAAAGAAATCTGTTGAAAAAATATCTTACTTTGTCCAAAGATAAAATCTAAGTGTCAATAATAGTTTTGTTAGAAGTCAAATACCCAATTCGCGCGTCACACTGCTTCATCTTTAAGTTATGTTAGTTGTATGCATTTATGTAAGTACTAAGATCTCATAAGTTGAGTGAATTTAAGTGACTATATTATTTGCATTTACTTTTATCGACTTACGGTTATTTATGAACTGGTTTAAAAGGGAGGTAGTTTTATTAATAAAAAATTGATAGTAGAAAAATTTCCCAGTTGTTTTATAAAGGTTTAGTTGTATTTCGGCAAATTATAACTAATGTATCTAGGCAATAACATTGTATATCCCCGAAATTCGTGTCTTAGTAGTGCCAAAGCAATTTGTACCCAATTTTGTACCTTTTTTACCCTCGTGTAATCCAAGTATTTAAAATGTTTAATGGAATTTCATACTTAAGATACCTAACTAACATGTTTTTATTTTAACACATCAATTAATCAACTTTATTTATAATTTTGTTTATTATATTATGTAACTCGTGCAATGATTTTGCGAATGAATTAGTTATTATTTTGTAGTGTTAAGTGGCAAAGTGTATGATATTTAGGGCTCAAATTGGTTACTGAGGAGAAGTCGTTCCTTTGTTTATACCTTCCTACAATTTATTACAATTTTCATATCTGAGATATGGGATGGTCCTATAAATGTATATTTTTTTAACAGACTTCTTGGGATCTGAAGTAGCTCAGTTATTCCAAATGTATTATTATTAACAACATTATTTTTCACGGCTTATATTAATTAAATATGACCTAATGGTATTCTATCATCTTAATGTTGAAGGAATAATAGGAAAGATTAAAAAGAAGAAAGGAATAGTTATTGAATCTAAAGGACCTACAACACATCGTGATCACATCCTTATATCTGTGTCTTATGTATTTAGTACGACTTGTCATTGGCGGAAAATAAGTTTTATTTCTGTGTCGTTTAAGTTTAATTTTGCATTTACATTTTCGTTTTTATATGCAATTAAGCACTTTTAAGACCACATTATAGTCGTTTTACCGTTCAGTAATAACTGACCTTAGTATAATTACAACATTAGATCCTTATATCTCACTTAAAACAGTATTTAATGATACTTCGAACTCATATTGAAGTCCATCTAGTACATATAAATTGATTTTTACAGTTCTAAACGCAACATATTTGTAGAGCCACCAGGACTGAACACACCTTGGGATGTATTTAAAAGAAAGTACTATATACGTTTTAAACCGTTAAGTGCTTTATTTAGTATGTATATATGCACCTAATATTTTGGCTAATAAATAAATTTATTAAAATTTTTCTTTTAAATAATTTGGATGGTGAAAACGACTATAGGCGTGTGACCCCAAACTTTATTTCAAGTGTGTATGGTGCTCCAGCGTATTGTAAAATAGTGCATAGTGTACATTTGTATCCTATTTTCGAAATAAACAGTCCTAATTTAAAATAATGTGAGTATTTTATTTTTTACAATGATATGGAATTTGAATAATGGCACCTTAGCTTAAGATATCGCTGTACCAAGCGAAACGCGAACCTGCAATAGATAACGTTCTAATTCGCTTTATATATGTTTTCCCAGACATAACTTTGTTTAAAAACGATTTTGATGATGTTTGGCTGATGGAAAAATAATTCGCATTAAATTTAGTTACAACTAGAGTGAATGTTTCATGCATTTATGTTTGGGCTTTCGATCTTTCTAAAATGCTTTTTTAATATATACCGTTAAAAATATTTTAATAAGTGTTTATTAAATTAAAACATAATTATTAAATCATTTTTAAATAACGACAATTTAGTCAATTATAGAAGCGTACACGCTCGGTTTTGGCAACGCGATGTTATTGATGAGGCTGGGAACCACCTGAAAATAAAATGAAATATTACTATGGTGAGTCAAAGTTGTGTTACTAATTATAGATTTTGTTTCCCAGTATAATAGCTTGTCACAAATAAAGACAAAATTTGAATTCCGAGGAAATATAATTTTAGTTGCTCTGAGGCAGGGCAGGGTAGACAGAGGTCTAATGAACTACTTAACTATAAATCAACTATATAAGTGAAAAGAACGTAGGTGGTTTTTTTGTTATGATGAGAGAAGACAGATAAGCATGGCAAGTGAAATAGGATATAAAAGGACCATATAAAATCTTAACAAGTTGCGCTATCGACCTGTTTTGGGTTTGCATATTCAAAAATCCACAGACAACGCAATTCAACTTCACGGCTTTATCATCTGTTTACAGTTATTCGTACCCAGGACGGATCTTAGATATTCTCATCATCCATGTAATATCAAGATTTCTAGACAAAGGCTCAGATGTGTCCCATGACCCAAGTAGAGGCGCGAGTTTATTGTTGATGTCGGCTTACCTTATTACGCACGTCTTTAGGCATAAAACTTTTAATGAACTCGTAGAAGTCGAAATGAGTCGTGGCGACATTCAAGCGCGCCATCTCGTGTTTGAGTTTGGCAACAGAGGGCGCTGGGGCGACACCGACTCTCCGAATTTCCATCGTGAAGTCGTAAATCGTTTCCACCAGCTTCTCAGCCCTGACACGCGCTTTGAAGTCGTACCTGAAATAATGTTATTATATTATATCAACTCATAAACACAGCTCAATGTAAAAGTGTATTATTATGTAAAATCTATGCATACATTTTTAATAATATAACAATCATTACATCAAATCAATCATTTCATAATTAAAGAAATAATATTTCTTGATGAATTAATTAACTATAAGTATCAAAGGAAAACATTTATATGTATTTCTCATTTAGCAGTCTACGTTTGGTTCATAGCATAGCTAATTTACATTAATACACGATAGTTCATTTCAACATTAAACACGTTTTATTAAAAATCGGTCAAGCTCTTAGTAACCAAAATGAATATATAAAATTAGTGAGATTCGTCATTTATACTCACTTAGGTTCCAATTTGGTTTCCAGGAATGAGTAGAGCCGTTTAGTAGCCCAGGATGCATTTTTAGGTTGATACCTCTTCGGTGGCTTATATTTGAGGTCCGCGTGAAATTCATCTGGCAGACTAAATACCAAATTACTTTTGGGCTTGGCCTTTGGCTTGCTTTGTTTAGCTATTCGTACGGCTGGCTTCTGTGGTGCTTTAAAGTAGTTTGTGTTTTGTGGTTTTGAGGATGTTTTAAGCCAGTTGTCTAATGTTGCATCCTGAAGTAAAATTTAAATTCCATGTTACATATATATTTTCGATATAAGCGCTAGAATTCGCTAGACACTTAAAACCTAAGTGTTTATTTTTATATATATATTAAAGAACTGTGCTAAAGATGTTCGGTGGCGTTGCAAGTAAGAAAATGCAGCTGTTTATACCTTACGACGATACACAGCGACATTCTTTATAGAAATCTTTAAAACAACGGTGGTGGTGGTGGTCGCCATAGTTTAGGTTCATATTAAAATTTAATTCTACTCACAATTTTACGTTTCCTCTCCATATTCTGTGCTTTTATTTCTTCTAGAATTTGTTGCGTAGACTGTTTTTTCTTACGCGATTTTCCTGCACTTAGTGTTGGCTCAGCCATGCTTTCAAACATAGGGTATTCTGTGGAATTAGCCTGAGGCATCTTGCTGATTTCCTTATTATCATGTAGGGGATTGCGTTCAACGTCTTCATGATCACTATCATTCTCACTGTCATTAGAGTCATCGACGTCATCATTCTCATATGTTTGCACCATTTCAGCATTATCATGATTTTCACTATCTTCACAATTATTGCTTTCCGCTTCTATCTCGCTCTCGTTATTACGGCCTTGGGCGTCATCACTATCATAGCTAATGTTATGGTCATCATCTTCTTGGTGGCTTACATTGTCATTTTCAATGTTTTCTAACATTTCCACTTCATCATCATTTTCTTGGTTGGCACCTTCATCCTCACTTTCCAATGTTACTTCATTTGCGTCTTCATCATTTGTTTCCACTAATTCTTCATCATTATTGTCTTGTTCATCTTCATCATGGGTTTCTACAGCTTCTTCATTAACATCTCTTGCCGATTCATTTTTGTTATTTGTTTCTGTTACACTACCTTGACTATTATTTAAGTTACTCTTGTCTTGTTCATAATCGATGTTAGAATCTATATTTTCCTCATTAACAGATTGTTTGCTTTCATTATTCTCACTAAGACTAACCATCTCATCACTAACATTCGAATTGGATTGATTAGAAGTTTTATCATTTTTAGAATTATGATTACTGTCACTTATATTACTGTTGCCTTTACTTATTTCATTTAGAACCTCACGGCTAGTATTGGCTTGATTATTTTGTAAGACTTGTTCTTGCGTATTGTTTGCCATGTCAGCTACATTAGATTGATTTTTAGCTCTTTCTGTTAAATTATTATCAACGCCAGCGTCAAAATTATTAGTCTCGAATACATCTACTAGATTATCTCTGCCTATACTCTTAGCAGCTCTAGCATTTTGGTCTGTATTTACCGAAACTTCTGATGTGTCCATAGCATTTTCTAATACATTAGACTGCTTTTTCGCGGATTTCTCCATCACAAGTGTACGCAGGGATTTTCGTGGCGTGAAGTCTTTTCCAAAAGTCTGTCTCAATGTTTTTCTTGTTGTCCTGTGAGAGTCCCAGCCAGAGTTATTAGCGCTTGAGTCAATGGCGTCTTCAGAAAGTCTGGTGCTTTCTTGAAGTGATTCACGATTAATAATTACGCTTTTAGTTTTTCTTATACTTGTATTGCGCCTTTCCGCTACAAATGATGCTTCTACCAGAACTTCATCTTTTTTACAGTTTAGAACGGTTTCTGGATGGGTTAATGTTTCATTGGTTTTTGTGTTGTGTAACGAATTAAATGATTTTCTGTGCTCATCCGTTTTACTTTTATTAGCATTGTTACTATTTTCAATATGTTCAGCAATGTCTAGTTCTATGTCACTCTCTTGTTGGTCACAACTACTATCTTCTTGTTGAGTGCCACTTACTGATTGATCAATTTCGGTTTCATGTTCAATCATACTCCTTTCACTTTCATCTTGTTCCTCTTCAATTTCCGGCTCACTGTCAATGTCACTTTGCCTTGTTTCTACTTCACTCTCGTTTTCGCTCTCCAATATAGCATTCATCATAAACTCTCCGGATTCTTCGCGTTGTTGTTCTACAATATTCTGTTCGTTTAGTAAGTTGCTGCTACTATGTGTCTCTATATAATTATTTTGCTTCTTAGTGATACTTTGCATACTTATGTCTTTAGTAAATTCAGTAATGGAGTTATTCATTCTTCTTTCATTTTTGGAAGTATTAACATTATTCCTTAAAATAGATTGACCAGAACTTTCATGTTTTTCCTTTCTTAAATCAACATCAACTTGATTGTGGCATGAGATATTTTCATCCTTATTTAATTCTTGACTATTTACATTAGAAAATTCATTTATTAAACTTTTATCGTCTGTTTTGTTTCCTATATTTTTGTGCAGGTCTAAAATTTTTTCACAACCATTATTTATAGTAGTCTGCTTTTCTATTACTTCCGAGTTTTCTTTAGCTACAGGAACATTATCTTCAGGCATTACTTTACTATTGTGTTGTTTAGATTTAGAAGTATTTAGAGTTATGTCACTTCTATCCTTGTTTGTCACTTTGTTATGTTCAATATAATTTTGATTATTGATGAAATTTTCACTAGTATTTTTTAATGTTTCCTCCTGGTACGACTTTTGTACTTGCGTTTTACTTTGTTGTTGTTCAATGTCGCTTTCATTATCTACAAGTGTGTTGTCCATACTATTTTCTTTATTCATTGAATTGTTTCTTTTTTCCTGGGATACTGAACTACTTTTTCTTCGCTTTGGCGTACTTTCATCTTCTGAATGTTGTCCTATCATAGTGGAAGATGGTAGATGATCCCAATCTTCTTCTATGTTATCAAATACACTTGAATGGAGGGAATTCATAGAAATTCTACCTGGCTTAGGAATAGATTTCCTTTTAAAGTCAAATACTTTTAATTGGCTATGGTTGCTTTCATCCTCATTGTCCGAAACAACAACATTGATAAATGTGCTTTTACGTTTGTTACTGGGTTTGTTGCCAAATAAATTGCGGGTCTTTGCTTCCATTGGTAATTCAACACTTGTCTCCAAAGCAGAGCTAGCGCACATTTTATTGAGTAAAGAAGATGGAAATATTGGCTTCATTGTATTCTTTTGCTTTACTTGATTGAATAAACTTCTTGGTGCGATATTAATATCTTGTTCCAACTCAGTGCTACTTTTAGATGCTTTTGTTTTATCTAGTTGAATAATTTGTTTATAGTTTTCTATATATTTCTGTTTAGTGGTATCTTTATATGGAAAGAGTTTTCTTTGAGGAATTATAATACTGTTGATAGATTCTCCATCACTGCTATCTGGTATATCAATGGAAAAATTCTGGTCTTGGCTAAAAAGGGATACAAAAAACACATTAATAAACACTAAAGATAAAACAAAAATAAAACTAAGGTTAATCAACTAAACTAAACAGCATTAAAAACAAATATAGTTAAAATATTATTATCCTTTTGTAGCTGAGGAGCAAAGTTAAGAATAAATGTTTTTGTATTTATTTGTAGAGCAGAGGTACATGTGCACATTTATACCAATTGTAATCTGTAATACGTCAATATGGAAAGAACAGAATTTATAGATACAATTTTGTATATACTGCTAACCATGTGTATTAAAATAAGTGAAACTGCAAATAACTAAGTAAACTTTTTATGACATCTGAAATTCTTCATTACAATACTTATTTACCTTGGCGGTTCCATTTCTACATCATCACATACAATATTGGCTTCAGGTGGATCAGCATTTTGGAGTAATTCTGTCATATCTCTGGAATTTTCATCAAGATTTTTCCACCAACTTTTGCCTGAAATTGTGATAAATTCAGTGTGGTCATGCTTGTCATAAAATCTTAAATTTAGTATCATAGTAATTCGTAAAAGTAAGACATTAGAAGAAAAACAGAAAATAGGCAAACAAAAATATTAAACTGTTTAGCTTATGTTAGTACTATTATTCAAATGCCAATGTGAATAAAAAAATAATAATGTAAAGTATGCAAGCACTTCTACGCTTTCTTAAAGCTGTTATACACACATACATATATGTGTTGCTTATGAATAAATGAATTATAATTTCAAAATGTTTTAAGTCCTGCTACAGAAAACTAGTTTGTAGAAAGACAATTGAATTTTTTTGGGATATTGGTAGGGAAAAGTTAGGAATATGCAAAAAGTGAATGTATCAATAGGTACTCAAACTTGATTTATACAGTTATCAGCTTCTCCATTAAGAAAATATACAGATAAAAAAAAACTTACGTAAAGGCACTTGTACATCGGTGTCATCAGGTAATATTGACTTCCGTTGCGGCAATGGAGACATCTGGAATGCATCTTGTATGATAGTTGTTAAAGGTGTGGATGATGTTGATCTTGGTGATGCTACACTACGACTTCTTCTAATTAGCGATTTGTGTTTTCTTGGTGTCATACCAGTGTGAGATCTTGCTGGAGAAGGTATTCTTGTGTTCGACATGGTATTGGCTGTTGAACATATTGATCATATAGAGATATAGCATTAAGAAATTTGTTAACAAAATGAGACAATAAAAGTATTACAAAGACATATTGCCAAAGAAAAAAGTCAACTGAAACATTAGAATAAATACACATTTTCCATCTATGTGATTTTTATCTTCTTTTCAGAAACTTAACTTGACTGTTAGACGCTATGTAAAAAAAATTTAAGTTAAATCAAGTTAAAGTTATTTACCTATATATCTTAAAAGGCTATAGATATCTAATTACGAATTAAAGATAACAATTCCGTGTTGGTAAATATATTTACCAACACGGAATTTAATGTGGCAGTATATTCGCAAAACTAAGCAAACAACTTGGAAACCTTTCTCGTGTCTTACCTACTACGTTACCAACTAAGTAAAATTTTACATTTGTCTCTCTGTTACCAATCAGTCATTACATTTATTTCCTTGAATTTAAAATAAATAGTTAAAACTGTAAGTAACAACACTGTAATAAGTGAGTGAACTGTAAGCAACTACACTATTAAGTAATATAACTGAAACCAGACGAATTCAAAATCCCAACGAAACCGTTGTATAAGTGTCGATGTCAAGTTTGACATTATTGGACAAGCGTAATGTTTCATAAAATGACGGCGCAGATAATAACCGTTACCGTAGATAATAATACTGAAAGTAAACTATACCAAGGTTACAGACATGAATAATATTAGTACCTTTAGATTATTTTTGTTTAAGTTTCATTTTGCATGCCTTGGCTTATTATGTGTTAAGTTATCAGTTATATATTTATGCATGTTAAATAAAGTTTATTTGAAGGACTTACTTATTTAAAAAAGATACAGTTGTTTAACGTGCAGAGCAACAGTTGTTAACTTAAATGGCATGTTCTTATATGATGATAACGTAAGGGCCTTATCACACTAGCGTATTGTGAGTGCATTTAAAACGCTCGCACCTCGGAGTTATAATGCTAGAAACACGCAAAGAAATCTTGAGTTTTAAGGAATAATATCTATTTGAAATGTACTTAGTATAAATTTAAAATTATACGTTTTATTTTATTTAAGCCTAAATAATATATTTACATGCATTAAAATGGCATCTGTAAAGATATTAGAATGGTATACCTAATTTATGTGACCGCCACGCAGCATCCACTCATACAGATAACATTATACCTACTTATTGCAATAGATACGTACCGCATTTGCATCCTAAAAATAACACTTTACATTACTTGTCTAGTACAATAACCTTGTTTTGTTTACCAACGTTGATTGTCGTAAACGTAACCTTTGTCGTTTTAATCATTATAGATGTTTAGAGATTTTTTTTTATATTAGAACAATAAATCACACACTTGAGTTAGTTTAATTGATGGCGAAATAGCACGGAGAGGCATGGACGTGGATTTGAGTCCCGCTCTATTTTCTATATTTTTTTTTATCTAGATTCAATTTTTATTTAAGATAAAATTACTTGAAAATGCTGTTTCAAGTACTAATATACCAAAAAATAGTAAAATACCGCTGAGAAAAACAAGAAAAACGAAGAGTTATTAAGCGTCTGCGTTTATTACTAAAACAAAAAGAGAAATAAACCTGATCCATACCTCGCGAGGAAAAATGGAATTTCAATTTCATATCTTACAACGGTTGCAGAATTTGTAAAGGGCAGATAAATGTACAAGCCTTGCAACAATGTGCGTTTATTAAACAAATCTAAAAATAAAATTTCATATTTTCACTCTAATGATATCAAGACGTCACAACTTGATCTAAGGTGACATGTTTGGTTTGTGAATGATATAAATATGAAATTATATGTATTGTCTTCTTATTCGTCATATGTAAAGTGTTGTAATATCATTATGGAAAGCCATGGAATTGTTGATTCGAGGCCGAAGGTTAGTTTAGTCCCTTTTTTCACTGTATATAACATAAATTGATTTTTATAATTAACTAAAGTATAATTTAATTAAGGTGTGTCGCTGTTAAAAATTGTCTTTAAACGCAAATTTATCAAAAGTTACAAAATTAAAAGACATTTAATAATCAGAAGTATCTTCTATTAGAAAAAACGCGTGATAAGTTTTTTAAAAATCCATCTTCAATAATTTATCTTCACGATTCATAATAGAAAGTGGTGATGCCATGTAAAAGGGGTTATGTCTAGATATTTAATCGGAACAAAGGTCTGCGTGATGATTTAGTGGAAGAATTTGATTTTAAAGTGTCATAATATTTAATTAATTTCGTAGGTATGACCTCCTCTGTGGGTATTGAGAAACAGCGTTAAGAGACATACTGTCTATAGTTTACGCGAGTAGTAAATAAAACTCTTTAACGGTTTACGGTAACGCGATATATTAGTTAAACTTATTTGGAAATGATTTTTAACTTCGGCTCGACGTTTCGGATGCTTTGCAGCAGCCGTGGTCACTGGGAGAAGAGACGTTAAAAATGGGGTAGGGGTAACAACTAACAATATAAAAACAAATGAAAGTCAAATTCCATTACTTAAGCACTACAATTGTAATTCTATTGAAATGTCCGTTTCAGGTCCGAAACCGCTTCCCGAGGATTGTAATAATCATAATACTAACAGAATTCTGCGAGAGGTTCTCATTTTCGGGGATGCGAGGTAATTTTCTTGTATAGTTACATTAACACCGATTGAACAAGAATAACAATATCCACTAGTAAAGTACTAATTGCTCTTATAACTATTAGTAAAACATTTTTAATTTATTTCTAAATTGTCAAAATATTATTTTTATTTTCTGTAACTGATATTACATTTATTTGACAAGTTTCACCTACAATTGCATATGCTGGCATTCAATAAATTAATTATGGTTTATAAATTGATAAAAATCAATAAAATGGGCGGGACTTCAAATGGTATCGCAATTGGTTAGAGCACGGATCGCTTTGGAAGCCGGTTCAAATTCCACCCTTGCCATAGATTTTATTCAAATTAAATCTTAAGCACATTTATTATTTATATTTACGAAAAGAGATACGCGACACTAGACAATTGTCAATTTGTCTATATAGAGTCATTTATAGAATTATCATTGTCTTATATAAGGAAAAGGATAGAGAATTAGACAGATATCCTATCATTAAATAAAAAACAATTATAGAGTTAAACCAGCAATTAACTAAATGAAACTCAGCTTTTAAAACGTCCAAATCGCTAAAACAAATTACAAAAGGAATTTCAGTGAAACAATGAGATCATTACCGTTATACATTTAGTGTTTTTATAGAAATATAAATTGTATGTCAATAAAAATAGAGTTTATAATTACGTTTTAGCATTCCTAACGTTATATTTGCGGAGTAAGCTTGGTTACACAGACGAAGGCGCTACGGAAACGTACCACGTGTTCAGCACTTTTGTGTACGTTTTCCCGATTATTGGCGGCATTTTAGCTGATAACTGGTTGGGGAAATTCAGGTAAGAGAATTCAGACGTATGTTTTGACTTATGATTTTAAACAATTTTCATTTCGATATTACTAACACGTACTTCGTGTGTTTTATGTTTGATATATAACGTACTAGTTAAGTAATTAAAAGTATCGAACGATCGAATCTAAGACTAGTTTTTTTTTATTGTTGTCTATGTTTTCCTCCTGGTCGCTTCATTTCAAAGGCTTACCTTTTGATTTGCACGATGCTGGCGTGAATAATGCATTCACACCAACAGAAAAAGGGTAGCCTTTAAAAACTATCGGCAGTCGAAATTTCTTTCTATTGTAGCGAAACAATTTTTTACATATATATTAAAATTAAAATGCCTCAATCCCACAGTATAGTTGTATATATATTTAGCTATCCACATATTGTAATGACGAAACATTAATTAATTTTAGGACAATTCTATACTTGATGTTCGTATACGCAGCTGGTAATATTTTAGTGGCTGTAACAGCTATACCACAACTGAATCTACCAGGGCGGTAAGTAGCGATGCTTTTTATTTCTCTTATTGCAAGATATTTTATATATTTATATAGCTTTAATGAATACATCAACGCATATAGCTGTAGCAAATATTACTTCACTTATTACGCGATATTTGTTTGAAGTCCACATTTGAGGTATAGAGCAGACATATTTTAGTATTTATATATGCTGTTTATTTAAAGTTGATTAGACGTGATGCTGCTAGAGGCAGAGTGGCCTAATAAAAAACATGATTTTCAATAAGGAGGAAAATAAAATTTCGCAATTAACTTAGGCGAAAGTGAATTTTTATAACATTTTTCAGTCACTGTGCAGTATGTCATTTTTAGACTATGAAAATATAAATAGCGGCCTCCTTTTATCTCAAATTATTATCCCATAGCTTGGCATTGGTTGCCTCCCTCACCGAGAGTGTCTAAGAGCGGTTTGACAGGTTCTTACCCTGGAAATCGAGTATATTCTCCGACCAAAGGCATTTATTATGTTACGAATCCATGATCTATCGCGCTTAACACAGTGTTTTACTATGAAGGCACAAAGGTGTAAGGAAATTAGAAAAGGTTTCCTTTTTCAGGCTTTGCACACTTTTGGGTCTTTTCATGATAACAATTGGTACGGGCGGTATAAAACCCTGCGTTTCTTCATTTGGCGGTGAACAATTCGTGCTTCCCGAACAGGAAAAGCATTTAGCGATATACTTCAGTATTCTTTACTTCACCCTGTGTGTGGGGAGCCTAATAGCGAAGACAGTTTCGCCGATATTGCGCTCGGAAGTCCATTGTTTTGGCGATAAAGACTGTTATTCGTTGGCGTTTGGCGCGCCTGGGCTTGTAGTCATTGCGTCTATAAGTGAGTAAATGTATTATGAAATATTCATTAGTCTGTTCTTTACGAGTAGTATACATTTAAGTGAACCTTAACGGTTTAAAACGCGAAATATTAGTTAAACTTGTATACATATTATTTTTAACTGCGGCCTGACGTTTCGAATGCTTTGCAGCAGCAGTGGGGAGGCCATAGGTGGAGGGTGCCTCTAATGACAAAGTAAAACTGCTATGCTGGCGCCATCTATTCCGTTGTAGTTGGTATTTGAAACGATTGGCGTGTGAAATTTGTAAACAATATTTCGCGTTCTAAGCCGTTAAAGTGTTTTATTTAAGTATCCATTATTCTGACAATTTTTACGATTAATAAGTATAATTTCTATAACTTCAACGCTGTGATCCCCCCCTTACGAACAAAAGTTGTATTTACGCTTCATTAAAGCAAAACAACAATGGATCTTATGTTATCACTAATAACATATTGTTCGTTATCTTTCCTATTTACTTCCTATGAAGTTCACATTGTTTATTTGGTAAATATAAATTTAAACGTCACTTTATTAAAAACTGTTTGGTTAGTTGTATTTATTTAAACAGTGTAATATTACATATATGTTTCACCATATTCGCTAAATACATTTATAGTTGCTAGAACTTATTATATTAACTTATAAAGGTCTATTTAATTATCAATTGCAAACGGATTGTGCATCCAATACTTTTTTTTGTCAAATTCTTATTTCTTTAATCACGATAAAAACGTCAAATGGTATATTAAAATCCGGTAATTCTTAAATTGGTTTAATTACGATAAAAAGCAGACGGGTCTTTGATCTATGATTTTTTAAATCTTTTAAGGAATTACTTTAATTTTCAGTAATCTTTGTGAGTGCGAAGGGAAAATATGTTATGAAAAAACCGGCTGGAAATATTATAATGGATTTCATCATGTGTGTTGCTGTGAGTATAATTAGTGCTATATTACGCGAAATTTAACTATACTCTAAAATACAAGACCTTATTAACCATTTTTCATTTCTACACATGTAACTCTCTTGCATAGTTTTCTATAAACCGGTCCAGTAGTTTAGACATCTTTAGAACAGACTTACGGACTAAGAACTAAACCTCTTTTCTAAATAGGTATAGCAAACGAAAGTAGCTTATTCCTGAAGAATTCAATAACTTAAATTCAAACAAAACATTGTTTTCTAAAGCCTGCATTTTCACAGCTCGGTATAAAAAATACCATAATGAAAAAGAAGAAGGACAAATCAGCTCATTGGCTGGACAGTGCACAAGAGAAGTACGATCAAAGGTTTATACGTGACGTGAAGAAAACGCTGTCGATACTCACGCTGTTTACTGTTATACCTGTATTCTGGGCTCTGCTGGATCAAATGGTATTCTAATTGTGCTGAAAATATAATTAATTTATAACGCAATTAAAATTATTTTGGAACGACACACATTTAGAAATTCACTGGCAAATCTGTCTTCGTAAAATATACAATTTCCTTTTTTACTATTATGAAAATGTTGTAGGGTTCCCGGTGGACTCTACAAGCTACCAAAATGGATGGAAGATTGGGTTTCATCACCATTAAACCTGATCAGCTACAAGTTGTCGCGCCAATTTGCATATTGATTTTCATCCCTTTGACACAAAAGGTAAGGATAACATTTAAATTAGGAATTATTGAGAATTTTCTTTTTTACCTTTTAATTTTACGAAATATGCGCATGATTTTCATTTATTATAAACATCACATTACCAGCACAAATATTCAAGATGGCGGCCACATGCCGGAAGAGGTTTCGATAAACATAAAATGATATTAACATTCTTTTAGTACGTATATCCATATTTAGAGAGACGTAATATGCTAAAGAATCCATTACACAAATTGACAGTTGGAGGAATATTGGCGGGAGTCGCATTTATTGCTTCTGCTCTAGTTGAAATTTACATCAAGGTGAGTGGAAACAATTAGTTTTATATATGCTCCTCGGTTTAACCTGACAGATAGTAAATAAAATGTGTAGTGTTCAAAAGTACCTTTGATATTTAATATTTTTAAATTGATATTGGCGGAAGGTAATATTTTCTCAAATTCTTCAACAAAGACCTCAAGCCTTCGAAAAAAATCTATACTAATATATAAAGCTGACGACTTTGTTTGCTTGTTTGTTTGAACGCGCTAATCCCAGGAACTACAGGTTCGAATTGAAAAATTCTTTTTTTGTATTGGTTAGAGCAAATATCGAGGAAGGCTAGGGGCTAAAAAGCATCGCCCTGTGACTAATACAAGCGAAGATACGGCGAAAAAATGTGAAAAAAAATTGGAAAATTATTGGGATTCCAAAGCGTACGCTGCAAAATCGGTTCAAGATACCCAAAAAATATTTATAACGATTGATTGCTCTCTAAATGATCTAAGAAGATGTCCCCGACACTACAGTCTTACATTTTAAGATTAACTTGTAATAACGACGGGACCCGAACTACGGGTCGTGAGCGACGGGATGCAAACGATGTCGTGAGCAGCTTAAATTAAAAAGATGTAGAGGGATGCAAAAACAAATTTGAATGCCCAAAATAACTATTCGACGCGGACGAACTCGCTGACACAGCTAGATTAATATAATTTTAGTGTCTTCTCTTTCTCTAATATAGTTATCAGAAAAATAGTTGTCAGACCGAAAAAAGGTACACCTAAATACAACATGAATGCTACGTTTAAATAAAACACTTTAACGATTTAAAACGCGATATATTAGTTAAAAATCATTTCCAAATAAGTTTAACTAATATATCGCGTTTTAAACCGTTAAAGTGTTTTATTTAAATGTGTACTACTCGCGTAAACTATAGACAGTATTTAAGAATGCTACGTTTCAACTTTTAGACCACGAATTTTAACACTTTGCGAGATAATCAGATCATATTTCTTCCAGACAACGTATCCAGAACTACCACAGACTGGCTTCTCTCAACTTCGGATATTTAATGGCAACCCTTGCTCAATTTCGATTCAGAATGACCAACATAATATAATTTACACTGTTCCATCTCTCTCGCACTACACCAATAAGCACATACCAGTAAAAGGGATGGAGAACATGACGATAAGTTTTGGCGGGAATTGTATCAAACCTAGAGATGAGATGTTATGGCTAGAGGAAAATAGTGCTGTTTCATTTTATATAAGTGGTAATCAAATTAAGAGGTTTATGGAAAATGTGGATAAAAGTAAATCTGGGTTGCCAGTAGTGAGGTGAGATTTTTAAGACCTTTCTTATTCAACTATATATTATTTATAAAATAAATTATTAGTAATTTGACCACCTCTGTAGATAAATGGTTAAACGTATTGCCTAGCATTGCGTTATGCGCGAGAGGTCCTGGTTTTGAATCCCAGGGGAACAAAAAAAATTGTCTGTTAAAAAGAACGGATCAGTGAAACGGACACAGAAATGTGTTCGCCCCATGCCCCACGAGGGGGAAACGGGCTTTCACACATCACACAATATGTTTTATCGATTAACGCTAAAACTAGGGACGCTCATGAATATATTGACAAAATGGGTCTTTTTTTTCAAAGCGCATATTTGTTAATAATATTAAATTACAACACTTCTTTCGGTTTAAAACGCAAAATGTATAACTTGTTACTCAAATGTGTACTACTCGCTTAAACTACAGACCTCGTATTTAGCGTCTGCAGTATATTACGCGGTTTTTTCTTTTGAGCAATTTATTTCTTCCCGGTTTTAATAAATTCGATCAGTACGTTATTGCGAATTGAGAGAGCTAGTAATTCTAAGGCCGTGGCACGGAAATTATTCCCCACGCAAGTATATTAAAGAGTCTTTTAGGAAATTTCGCATTACGCACATTCTACGACGAACGATCGAAAATTAATCTCGCATGTATTTCTATGTGGATAATTTAATCTAAATATATACTTCATTGTGCGTCAAGAATAATAGACTATGTTTTGTTTTTTGATTTTCTATATAAAAACTGGGCTTTGTCGATGTTTCATTTGATTAAAACGTCATTTGCACAATTACTGAAAGAATATGCAAAATAATTTGAAATCCCGTAACCTCTCTCTGCGGTATTCTTGTCTGTAGTTTAGGCGGATAGTACTCAGTTAAATAAAACACTTTTATCGATTTAAAAGGCGATATATATTAGTTAACTTTTTTGCATTGCCCATGGTCACAGGAGTGGTTGTTAAATTATTCAATAAAACCGTTAAAAAGTGTTTCATTTGAAAGAAAAATGTTTAAAATCGATTTTAAATTGTAACAATTTTGCGATTTTCATAATTAATCATGTCAAAATATAAATGTTTTCAAGCAATGGTTTTCATTGTTTATATTTTAATATACGTTGTATTTATATATTCTTCATTATCTACACTAAACTACCCCTAAGATCTTAATATTAAAGATTTAATATGGGCTCCACTAAAGCTGGCTAAGTCTAGGCTTATCGTAGATACAAAGCATCTAATACTAAGCCCATTTTTACAGGTTCCTATCGAGTGAGCTTAACGCAAGTGCGCTTTTCTTTAATGAGAGAAGAAATGAAATTGAAGCGGTAATAAATAGTGGGGTGTCGAAACAGACTGATGTGTTTGCTTCCGATTATTCTTTAAGAGTTAATAATGACATCATTATGAGTGATATTAGTATGACGAATGGCGGTGTATATGCGATTGTCTTAGACAGAATTGACGCTGCTTATGTAAGTTTTTATATTTATTATAAAGGCAGACCTAAATACTGTTTATAGTTTATGCGAGTAGTACACATTTAATTAAAACACTTCGGTTAAAAATGCAATATATTAGTTAAACTTATTTCTCCCCGTGGCCACGACTGCTGCAAAGCATCCGAAACGTCGGGCCGAAGTTAAAAATGATTTTCAAATAAGTTTAAGTAATATATCGCGTTTTAAACCGTTAAAAGTTTTTTTTAAAGGCAGACCTAATATTCAAAACAGATAGGTCGACTGGGGTATTTCTCATCAAGGATCTCTGGCATTAAAAAAAAGCTAAGCGTGATGTTCACTTAATGGTCGGTGCAATACCCAGACATATAACATCGAAAGAAGATGTGCTATCGACTCATTTTGGGATTGAATATTCAGAAATCCACAGACGGCAACCGAATCACTAACCACATTTTCATATGTTAGTGGTTCGTGACCCGGACGGAATTTTAAATGTTCCCATCCATTTAATATCCGGGTTTACAAACGGAGACCAATGTGTTTCGAAAAAAGATAAATTTATTACAAACAAGTTAGACTCGGTGGATATTGAAGCCATACCTTGCTACTGTCAGACTAACGAGCCCGTCAATTTGTAATAAGTATGCTTTTTATTACACAATCGGATTTAAATTTTAATTGAACCATAAATTATATTATCATTAATAAACTCTTTAGAGTAATATTTTTATAGTATTGTATTTGTAGTATTGTGTAATAATACTGGTTTTAAAAGTTAGATTCTAATCTCTATATATCTATTTCAAGCTAGAAATGAATAAACAATACAATCATTCCTGTTGTAGAATCTGAGCAAATGTTTATTTAATGTTGCAGAAGGCCAAACTCATAGTGATTTCAGAACCGAACTCGATAACGATGGCGCTTTTATTGCCGCAGTTTTTAATTATGTCGATAGCAGAGGTAAGAACATGTCAAATTATATATCGAGGTCTATCAAAACATGCTCTCAAATGCTTTATAATTTTATAATGAAAAACAAGTACTTAGTATCGGACCAAATATTTTATTTTTCTTTCTTATTTTTTATATCATAAGGACTTTTTAAAACATAAATATTTTACTCACCGATTTATTTTGATTTATTGATGACTTATTTATTTACCCGTCTACCAGCTAAATAGTCTACCTCAATAGCACTAACACAAAAATAATTTTTCAATTCGTATTTTCAAACCCGTAGTTCCTGAGGTTAGCGTGTTCAAACAAACAAACTCTTCAGTTTTATAAATTATTATAGATATATGTTTTTGGTGAAGAAAAGTTCTTCGTATTTTTATTTAAAGCTTGAATTGTTTTGGTATTAAATCTCATAGCTAAATGTGCAGGTACTGTTTGCTGTAACTGGAAACGAGTTCTCATTTAAAGAGTCCCCTGAAAGTATGAAAGCAGTGATGACAGCGGTATTTCTGCTAACAGAGGCGATAGGAAACGTCATCATTATTGTCATAACACGACTCTTCACTAACTATAAACAGGTAAAATTTACGGAAAATTAATATAACGGTGATTGTTTCACTGACTATATACTAAGCCACTATCTATTCTCACTTTTTCTTTATCGAAAATCTGAGATTCAAACCGCAGCGTCTCTCGTCAATTATTGTCTGTACTATATTATTCCTTAAAAATAATGGATTGTATGACAGAAGACTAATCTCGCTTTCACGATTTCGAATCTAGGCCACCTATTGTTCTAATAGCGTGGTCAAAATCATAAAATTAATCTTGGTTTTTACCTAGATTCTATAACAGTAAATATATTGCAAATATAAAAAAACTTATGTAAAAAGTAATTAAGCTTTAAAAGGAATGACGGCGACTTTCTTGCTAGTTCTTCTCGTTCTAGGATTTCAATTTTTTACAGTTTAAAATTTATATTGATTTTCATATGTATTGTCATATTATTATTTCATTTCGCTTGACAGCTGTTTTGGGATATAACCTAATGCATTAATATGTTACGAGGCCGCTAGAGTAAGAGTAGCCTAACTGCAATTTTATGACTTGACTTATTTAGTGTTATTGGACGTAGTCTAAAAATGTTAATCTACAAGAGCACAGTGACCTAAAATTGTCAACATAATTCTTACACAAATAATAGTACAACCTAATTTTCGTCTGAGTTAATTGCGCAGTTTTATTTTCCTCATTATTGAAAATCATTTTTTAGGCCACTCTGCCTCTAGCAGCCTCATAGTAGTGTATATTATGAAAAGTAGTTTTTGGTTCCCGTCAGATCTAGACAGCCCAATCCGTCAGTTATCCGTGCCGTACAGAAATGTAGGGCGCAAATGTCCATCGTCTATTGTATGTGTAAATGTCGATGTTAGCAATTACCTGATATACATCAAGCGAAATGTTCGTTCAATCTTGTTGAATTAATTGTCATTTGAAATTAATACATATACAAATATTATTTATTGTCACAAAACATAACAATAAATAAAAATTGACGGACGGATTTAAAGGACAAACGGCGGCTTTATTGCTAAATAGCTATTTCTTTCACGCAACCGTGGTCAAAATAGAAACAATCTATTGTTTATACGGGATTTGAATTCAGGACCTCTCTCACACTTAACGCAACTTTATTCAACCATATACCAATACACTACTAATCATTTTATTATATTTCAGGAAACACAATCGTTTTTCTATTCGGGCCTAATGTTTGCATCAATTCTCGTGTTCCACTTCCTCTCGCGAAGGTATGAATTCACGGAAACAGAAGAGGACCATGTTGAGAAGAAGTGTCGGAGTAATAGCGAAGTGTTGTATCAGCAGGTTAAACAAATAGAGGATCTCTTAGAATAAGTTAGGTTTAAGACTGGATATAGTTTTTATAAGAGCTAATATTTTAATCGTTCCACTTTGATAATTGAATGATACAAGTCTATGATTATGTATACGTAAGTTGCACGTATTCAATAAAGCATTTTTAACGGTTTAAAACGCGTTTTATATAATATTACTTAATTTCATTTTCAACAACGATCTGTCGTCTCGAGTGCTTTCCAACAGAAGTGACCACATGCTTTAGAACGCTAAGTGTTTTGTTTATAAATAAACTATTTATATTAAATAAAAATTTTGTTACAAAAAAATTATTTATTTCATTTACAAACCGAATTGTGGGATTTTATGATACACGGCCTTTGTACAGAATTGTTTTCAAATTCGCCAGAACAATGCCTGCAATTTAAAACAAGTGAATACAAACCGGCGATACTGTAAAATTATTTGTGCGATTTAATTTTATTCATCGATATTCAAATATAAGTAAAGCCGGGACGGATTGTTTAATGAATTATTTTTTTCTGTGTGTAAAATGGGATAATGACATTACAGAAACGGGTATGCAAAATTCGCTGAATGGGACCTTCCTTATGATCACTATTATATATTCCTTATGATCTTTCAGATCACACGTAAGATAGTTTTAAAAGAAAAACGCGTCACAACGCGATAAATCTACTCTAATATGTATATACAGCTTGTTTGTTTGAACGAGCTAATCTCAGGAACTGCTTCGAATTGAAATTTTGTGTTGGGTAGAGCATTTATCGAGGAAGACTATAAGACATGCCGATGTGACTAATAGGAACCAAGAAACAGCGGGTAATTTGGAAAGAAATGTTTTTCACTGATCAATTTTATTTACTACCAAGTAATATAATCACATGCCAAATCAAACTTTGAAAAATTTCCCGAGCATCGAACTTAGCACCACTTGCCCTTAACAGAAAGTCTTCTCTCGTTATATTAGGCTTAACGTAGGCACTTCGGCCAGGAATCAATGAAAGCTGGTCGATATTATAATTACGTTTAAGCAGTATTATGCTTCGGAAAAGCTGTTTTTCCTGCAACAACTGCATTGCGACTCTGCTTCACGAGGTGCTTAAATTATTTACGCTAAAGGATTTATATTACAATTTATTTGAATGAAAATATAAGCTTTGTAGTATAACAGAGTACTTCGTATGCATTTAAATAAAAAAACGGTTTAAAATGTGGAATACAGAAGTTAAGTTATTTTTAACTTATAATATTTCACGCTTAAACCGTTTAAAATTTTTTTATGTAAATAGTAAATATTATTTATAATCAAGAGTCAAAACGTCATTATAATTATAACCGGCATTAAACTCTTCAAAAAGCTCCCAACATTTTCACTTCAACTACGTGGACACACCATAAACGCATTTGAGAGATTTAACTTCGAAAGAACCTGAGTTTGAGTTTAGGGAAAACTATGTTATCATAAAAAATAAAATTAAAAAATATTTATTTCCACACTGAAGTCTGATCGATAAATCAAATAAAAACGGGACCAGTGTTTCAGTTCTGTAAAGTTTTCGTCGTTTAGTCTAAAAGAAGAACGTTTAGAGCAATTAGCAATGGGACAAACCTTTCCCATCTACGATTGATTAATGTTGGATCATTCATCAAGATGTCTAACCCCAATCTAACCTCACATTTTACGTCGAGTTAAGCGGTAGAGTACCAATTCAAGATGACGAGAGATATTTGGAAAAAAGCTTAATTTATATCATCGATAATTTAGGGAAGTTTATAAACATAAAACATATTGCAATAGAACAAAAAATTATATATCACTATATCTATATCATAAAAAGTATAATATAAGTAAAGAGTAAAAATGCAGAGTAACGAAAAGAAAGAAAAAACATAATTTGTATACATTTAATTTTAAAAAGCTAGATTTTATGGTAAAGAAGTTTCATATATTATTTATTTATTTAATTCTTGCAACACACACAAACAAAAAGTAAATATTCACGTTTCCTTAAAAATATTCTTAATAATACAATTTTTAAAGATACATTATTTTCACCAGTTATGGAGTGCAATGGGCGGCCTTATCGCTATAGAGCGATCTCTTCTAAGCAAACCTTGAATAAAGTGAAATAAGTTATGTCATGGGAATACATATATTAATATTATACACAACGAATAAAAAAAAATCGAACTAGTTTTGTGGATAAGGATATAGACAAAAAATGCTTATAGAGGATTGTTGTGGATGTTTAAAAGATATATTTAGAAAAAATAAATTATATTACGAAACATGACACATAGGGTAAAAATACTACGTGCCTTCGTTCCTTCTCCCGTCTTTTGTATGAATGTTTCAATTTGATATTTCGAAGTTCGTGTATATTCAGCTAAAGCATTATGCAAAAGCGCACAGATTAAACTAAAACCAGTAATCCCAGGATGAAAGTTTGGTATCGGTAGCGCTAATCCCAAAGCAACTAAAGCGACCGAGTTATTAGTTGTAACTTTGCGCAGATTAATTTTTAATGCGACAATTGTTTACACATTGAATATAATAAAAATAAAGTGCAATAGCGCCTTTTTCATTTTAACGGTTCAAAATGCAAAATGTATAAATAAAGTTTTTTCTACATACGATCCAAACGTGACGACTATCTCGGTGTTTTGATTTATTTGTCAGTTTCATTCTCCCCTTTTTACACTTTAATGGTTTAAAATGCGATATATTAATTCAACTTATTTAAAAATGATTTACAACTTCGGCCCGACGTTTCGGATGCTTTGCAGCAGCCGTACAAGTTCAAAAAAGTTCAACTAATATATCGCGTTTTAAACCGTTAAAGTGTTTTATTTAAAGGTGTACTACTCGCGTAAACTATAGACAGCATTTATTTAAATATATTTTTTTCTGTTTAGAGCGCAAAACACATATATAGTTTTTAAAAGCACAGATCCGTAAAAATTCGGTTTACCTAACTACTTTGGACCGGCATTGGTAAGCCGTGTCCAAAGTAGTCAAAGCTAAACTTTTATTCGATCTAGAAAAACGTTTCAAAGGGAAAAACTGATCAACAAAGCTAGTTTAATTACGAAATGATCTATTCGATTTTTTCGAGCGTAAAGTTACGTCGGCCTATCAATGGACAGCCGATCTGTTGGATGGAAAAAATAAAAGTGCCCATGTACCAACCTAACGTATTTTCAGCTCCATTGGAAATGAATTAGTTGCCGAACGTCGGAATGGAAATATTAAAGTCCGCCATCTTGTTTATCAACATTAAAGACACAATATCTCTTCTATTTACATTATTAAATATATACCACATATTAATTTCACGGCTTTCATCTGTGGGTAGTTCGTGACCATAACTGAATTTTGATATTGCTTCCACCCACATAATACATGACGTTTAGATTTAAGACGATTTGTTTTCGTTCCTTCTAAATTGAAATATTCAATTCAAATTGGATGAATACGCCATTGTTATGATCTTACTTAGAGATTAGTTTTTTTACTATTTTGGTTATAAAAATAAATTATTGCTTATAACAGTGTTTCACAGGTGACTTTTGTGTGTACTTACATCTTTCTGTGACATATAACTTCTTCTTTACTCTCTAAATCTACTACAAACAGTGAGTTTGAGTGCTAGTGTAGCAGATTCTATTATCCACGATCTTTAGCCCCCGTGACCATAGCTGCTGAAAAAAATTTCAAACGTGGGGTCGAAGTTATGGGAACAAAAATATTTAACGATTCAACTGTTTTTAAATTTAAATGTGTTTTTTTTAGTGTCAACACTTGGCTCACATTAAATAAAACTACGTAGATAATCAATGCACGTTTTTAATTCATATAGAAACCAAATAATCTATCGAATCCAACGTAAGAAAGTTTCAAAATTGGTAGCCTTCTGTATTGTATGGAAACTGTAAAAGTTCTAAATTTGCTCTGAGCTCAAATCCTGTAGTTACCTGAACGGGTGCAGTTTACTTTAGATTAGTTACGAAATACGAAAGCTCATAGAGCTACCAGAAAAATATGCGCAATGCCGTCTTTTACTGGTGCAAATATAAATACGTTTTGTTTTTAAGTTACGAAATAAATTTTAATAACGCTGCGTTTGTTGAAGATTTAACAGCCGAGTTTCAGTTTCAGGAACAGTTGGGTTCGGGTTTACAATTTAAAGTTTTACTAAAACGTGACAGCTTCTTTAGTTCTAAAAACGTATTCTTCGTAAAGTTTATCCTTACTATCGTTACTAATATTATAAATGCGAAAGTAACTCTGTCTGTCTGTTACTCTTTCATGCCAAAACTACTGAACGAACTTGAATGAAATTTGGTACATAGATGGTCTAGATCCTGAGAGAGCACATAGGCTACTTTTTAATGCCAAAGAAGGGTTGTTAGGGGTTGAAAAGGGTGATGAAAGTTTGTATGGAAATTCGTGATTTTTGAAGCTAGAACAATGAAACTTTCTTTTTTTGGCTTTTTGGGAATAGGAGTGGGAGTGGGTTGGAAGTGGGAGTGGGATTGGGATTGGGAATGAGAGTGGAAGTTAGAGTAGGAGTGATGTGAGGTGAGAGTGTTGCAGCAAAGTAGCACTTACAACATAGATTGGCTGCGATAAATGCGAAATTACATAAACTTCTTGCTTTTGCTAAAAATCATTTTCAAATAAGCTTAACTAATATATCGCGTTTTAAACCGTTAAATTGTTTCATTTGAAGGAGCTCTGTTGTGAAACAATGCTTTGCGTATGTATCTGATATATAATCTGTATGCAAAGATAATTTTATTATATTGATACAAAAATTTGCTTATCGCTGTTAGGTTGATATTTAACTTGATGAAACATTTTTGTCTATTATATAGACCGCTTGATTAGTCAAAAGGTCGTCGAGAGATCATTCGAAAAACAAGATGTTATAATGGCCTGTTCAAAGTCAAAGCTTCACAAAAGAGGTCGTTTACATAAAACCTTGTCAATATGATTCATGTTTTTATTATTC